GATTCACCTCTCTGAACCTGAGTTTTTTCATTTACAAAATATGGATGATGCTATTCTCAGGACTAAATTTGAGGCATATTCAGGGCAGTAAATTCAGTCAGCCACTAATTCACATGCAAATAATGAGGAAATAAGCTGTTTAAAAACTAAAGAAAAGTATACATATTTTAAGAATTTTGTGATATTAAGTCAAGCCCAAACTCCTTATGATAAAGGACTTGATTGTCAGGCTCACAGTAACATGGCATGGGAAGCACCTTGGGCAGCACCTGAGAGTGGGATGACACCGGGCTACATGGGCTCCAAGTGCAATGCTGAGGACAGATGGTTTGCTTTGCCTGCACTCTTCAGGAAGGTGTACTGAAATGGACATCCGAACAAAGTTAAATCCCAGAGGAGGAATGCTGAGGCAGCCATGTCCCATGTGCGTGATGGCAGAGGAGGCTAGATGCTCAATAAAACCCCGCCATCTGAAAGGGTAGATCCTGGGATGTCTACTCCTTGAGCCCAGATGTTACTGAGTGGGAATGACAAAACCCTTTGCCTATGAGAGCAGGTAAACATGAATGAACTAACAAACAAACGAATGAAAAAGCTATCAGTATTTTCCACAGAAAACTTCTTTCTAGGTGTCGGCGTGGCCAATCAGATTTGAAAACAAAAATAATTATGATTTTAATAATTTCCTCTTTGGGGTGGATGGAATATAATACGAAATAATTAATACTAAATGCCCCGCAGCGTCATTTCAGGAAAACAACTCCCTGCTAGATAATTTTGCTCACTATTCAATAATTACAGTTATAAGACTCTAATAGATTAAAACAAAAAAGTAACAATATTAACATGGTTAAAAAGTTACATTAATATTTACCTTTCGTGGAAGAGTTACATTTTTCTTGCTCTTCAATGAATTAAATGCACATAATGATGGAAAAAAAGAAAGAAATCAGCAAATTTATAGTGAAACATGGAAATGTGAATTTAGACAATGGCATGAACAATAAAAGTGCATAACATGTAAATGTGACATGGTAAGTTACAATGACAAATCATGAGGAAGTCTCAAATACGTCACTAAAATTAATCAAAGGAAAAAAAGATTATAATAATTTAAAGATGTAAAATCATAAAGAAAAACTAGAAAATTAATGAGTGGTATTTTAAGAGGAAAAGTCAGGCTATTTTTTCTTGCCATTTCAGAATTGCATTATAGTTCAGCACGTAATTAGCAAAACCATTTTAATTTTAATCCATTGTGATTCTTCATTGTAAATGTATTTAAAATAATATTTAATGCTAATAATAAAATTTTTTACCTTTATAAAATGATAGCCTTTCTGATAATTTAAAATTTCATATAATGAATTACAAGATACATTTCATTTTTTACTAAGTAGTAGGCATTTTCTTTCTACAGTGGAAAATATACTATAACACTTTGAACATGCCAAAAAAAAAAAGAGGCTTCAAAAATTTTACTAAAAAATCCCATTGTCTTTTGTCCCATTTTCTCAAAACATTTTTGAAGGTCTCTTTTATTTGTAGTTTAAGCAATCCTTTCTTCCCTTTCAATTACATTAAAATACCCCCAAGTGAAATTATTTGTTTCTCTGAAGATTGGAGAGTTCTTAGACATTTCATAAGCCTCTGTAGAGTGTAACCGCTAGTGATAAATAACAGCCTCTGGAGACCTCTCTGCAATGGAGTGTCAGTAGAATTACAGTCGGTAAATATACTAAAAGAACATAGAACTGGCACACGACTAACTGTTAGTTTATGAGCTATGTCTAAATACTTCTTTCAAAGACATCCAATTGAGTATAAAAGACCAACACGCGGCTGGTTTCAAAATGCCACATATATATTTTTGAACACAACCAGTCATATTGTGTTCAGTTTTATTCGACACAGGGGCACACGGGAAGCCAGTTGTCTACTGACACCAGAGATATTCCTGGGAAGTCTGCTCCCAGGGACCACAGACTCTTCAAGTTATCAGAAACGCAGGGCGGCTTTTTCAACTGCTGTTCTTCCCAATCTGTATTGTAACAACGCCTCTCCTTTCCCCCAAATATACTCCAGCAGCAGCATCAGATTCCATGGAGCAAATGGGCTAGCATTTTCAATTTTTAGAGGAAATTTCGCATTTTTTAAACAAAATTAATCGGACACTCTTTTCAAGTGACATGCTTGTCTTTAAAATAGGATTGTTTTTCATGGTACAAAGAGATGGGAAGTAATTCAAATTACAAGAGAAACAAATCCAGACACACACGTGAACTCATCCCAACACATGCCCTAAAAGCAATGACGCAGAAACTGATGTCTGGAAACTGCATATGAATAAAGTGCACTAAAAGGCTGTGTATCTACCCAGGTACCAAACCCTCTGAAATACTTGCCCTTACCAGTCAGCTGCTTATCAACTCAATGATTTTTAATAAAGAAAATCGTTTTTGTTAAAAATAAAAATGAAAGGGAGGAAGAAGGGAAGAAAGAATATCAAATGTAACTGAGGCTTAATTAGGAATAAATTGCAGCCAGCAATAATCTTCATAGGACAGAGGACTTTACTACTTTAAATAATAAAGGAGAAAAAAAAAACTCAACAACTATGTAATCCTACAACCCTAAGAACAATAATGTAATCACTCTTAAATGAAATGTGCTAAATCCTGTGAATCATAGTTTTACTTATAAACAGTTTTTAGGACAAACACAAATTGTCCTTTGAACCTATTCAGTTTGAAATGGACCCATAACAGGATAATGGCACACAGTATCACCATTTACCAAAAGTCACAAAGTACAGGTTTATGAAAGTGAATCCGATTGGTTTCATGAAAGAACATTTTGGTTCAATAAAGGTTTTCTGTCATTTTTTAAATGGTGATATTTATATGACTATTGAGAACATATCTTTCAGGAAACTCAAACAACAAAAAGTGTTTACTAGTATATTTCTGCAATTAAATATCGAAACGATAACTCCATCAGGCTCATTCTCAGTCATTCCCTTCTTCCCACCTCAAGTCAACCTTTACCAACTGCTGATTGCTCTGAAAGACAACTGTGAATACAAATATACATGGTAACATTGGTATTGACAACAAAATAGGATCTCTTAAAAAACCAAAATCCAACACAGGCTCTAAAAGATTTTGTAGAAGAAATTCTTAACTCTGGACTATCATCTTACTGCATAAAACCTGTTATCTAGTACTTTTATATGCTTTTGAACCTGGAAGAATGTTTATTTGCAATTGGAGGAAATGCAAAGAATTTTAAGAACAAACACCTTTTCAGCCACGAGTGCTCAGCAGAATGCGGCCAGGAGGGCAGAATTGTGGTTGAACACCACAGTTTGCATCTATTTTTCAGCTGTGCAACAGGAGTTCACTAATGGAGCATTCAAATCACACCCAACTTTTATATTTTAAAAAGTAAATTTTAAAGTAGTTTCATCTGTATTATTGCTAATTATAGTTTCAATAGAATTATTTGTTATGAATAATCTCAAAATATTAACATGATAGAGAAGAAAAGGTTGATTAAGCATGTGAAGTAATTATTCAGATTAATTAACTGGTATTTTAGAAAAGAAAGTCAGTGTTTCACAAGACATAATAGTTTTCTTGCTAATTAAAAGAATACCCTATAACAACCCGGAAAATCAAAGCATGGCTCACCAACAAGATGTAGAGTTTTAAAAAACACAAATCTAGAGTTCACTGTACCAGTATTTCTCTGTGAATCAGTTGATACCTCCTAGCTGCTACATTAACTTTTTCAATCACATTCAGAAATCTTCATGACAACCTCTGACACTGTATGTTTATCTTCTTAGTCCTAACATTTCTGTGAGGCATTTGGTAAGGTACGCAATGTCAACATTCACCCATGCCCAGAATCGTTCATTATGAACAACAAAATAAAGGTTTTCATCAGCAACAACCAACACTGTGGGGAAAAAGAATTCAAAATGTTAACTTTTCGGTTGTTCACAGAAATAAAATTTCAGTACATATTTTATTATGTCTAAAGTCATTGTATTTAGAATGAAACATGAATTAGAAATTACACCAGAAAATTGTTTAACACACCCAAGATGAACTATGTGATAACAAATATTGATGATAAATCATTTTGTCTACTGAAATTTGGGATAGTACCTTACGTAAGTGATTATTTTAACCCAGTATTTAAATCGAGCCCAAGCCCTTCAGTGACGTTAGTGTGCACTATCAAAACAAACACACCGCATACCACTCTCCCTCGTAAGCTTACATTAATAAGGGAACCTTCAAATAATATAAACCATTGAGGAAGAACAATGGAACGTGTGCTGTGATCCTTTTCCATCACCAAACATATTTTTAGAAAGCACAAGATACTGCCAACGAAGCTGAGATCGAGAACACCTACAACGTCTTCAATATGATCAGCTGTTTAATTTTTAAAAGGTTTCTAAATCAACACATAAAATACCATATTGTACTGAAGTTTTTGTATTGTATTTTTTCCTCTTGTTGAAAAAGGCATTTCTAGGGCACAACAATTTCTTTTAAATTACTATCTAAACTTCATTCATTCACTCGCTCTGCAAAAACTGAGCATCATGCTATTAACTATACATAAGAACTGATGGAAAAGTCTAAGAAACTTAAATTTGTTGGATTTAACAAATTGCCCCAACCCCCTGCCACTGAATAGATTCCGATTCATGGTGAAGGCATAGGTTGAGGTAGAAATTCCCCATAAGATTCCCGAGGCTACACATCTTTGTGGAAGTACAGTGTCACATTTTCCACCCTCAGAGCAGCTAGTGGATTTCCCATCACCAAATTTTGGTTAGCAGACAAGAGCTTAACCACTAGTTTCCTTCCACAAACTATATGCACATATAATAAAAACACAATTCGTCGTATAAAGAAGTATAAAACGCAGTGGTTCTCCAGACCAAGGTTTTTGGATCAAGATCTCTCTGTAAGGAATACCTTGTTCTAGACTGCCGCTTCTCACTGGCACTTGCGGGAGCTGTCTCCCCCTCCGATTGCTGAAGGGTGTGTCTGCGGGGGGAGACCGGGCTGGACTTCCTTGTCGGTGCATTCTGCAGGCAAAACACAAAGGGGAGCGTTGAAGGATGAAATTCCACTGGAGTCTCACAATAGCCTTTTCCTTCTTTCTGTTACATAAAAGCCCCAACTGGAACTTCAGGAGCAGAATCAGTAAGTTTGATGCTATGTGTAAAAGGAATATCTCAGAAAGGGGCACAGGGAGGGAGGGCAATCTCTGGCCCCCACAGTTCTGCACCATAAACTCTTGAACTGAGCAGAATCAGATTCACTCCTCTTCATTCATTTCTAATTAAGTTTTACTTTCTGCAGGTGGGAGAGCTGCACCAGAGCCTCTGCGTCGTAATGACGCGACTGAATTAGTTGAGGCTGCCTAAATTAGTTGCCTAAATTGCTACTATGACATCGAGAAATATTCTAGAGTAAATTATCACGGATGAGAATAATTCCAACTGCAGACTCTCACAGATGACCATTCACCTATGGTTTTATTTGAAGAGGAAAAAACTGAAAGATATGTTTTAAAATAGCCCTTGGACACATGCAAGAGCCCTTAATGGTGCAGAGGTAAAAATTCTGGATGGTCATTTGAGTAGAGTGTAAAATACATCACCACTGCTCAGTATTGAGCTGACCTCCATCTGCTGGCACTCAAACATTATTTTCTTTTTAACTGGAGAATTCTAGAACACTCTTAAGGGTTTACTGAACACATATGAAAGGTTAATTATTTTTATTCCTCTTACAGTTTTAAAATGCAAATATACATTGTAATTTCAAGGAATTTGTTATGAAAAATCACATAATTAATAGAATTTTATATATGAAAATGCCACAAACAGATGGAAGGACGTAACACAGCCAAGTTCCACTTTCAATGGTCGTTAATTGGCAGGAACTATAGAATACCAGCAGCACAGTGAAAGGAGATGCGATAAGAGAGGATGTGTGAGGGGTAAGTGTTACAGAGAAAGGATCCAATGCTATGGTGTTATAATGAGTAGAAGCATCGAGTGCTCAGGAAGGTACAACACCACACCAAGACCCGGAGGCAGGACATGAATGCTGGGCTGGACACTGAATAGCAACCTTGTCAGAAGCGGAGAAGGTGGCGCCGACCCTCCGGGGGCAAGGTGGTGCATAGAACACAGTGCTCTGATACTAGAGTGCTCACTCGACCTTGAGCGAGTGGGATGTTTCCCCCTAATGACTGGCTGATCAGTCGCTCTTGGGGCTGCGTGTCCCCTTCTAGAAAGACATGGTGGGAGAACCCTAAAACATTAGGGTTAAAAAAGATCTTGAGTCAGCAGGTTCACATGAACTTTGATACCGTACATTTGTCCCAGAAAAGCCTGGTTACTCTTAAAAGACAGTGATGTTAAAAACCAGAAGAAAACCCATCCCACAATTACTGAAATGGAATTCACATCAAACTGACACGTTATTATTCCCAGTGTGCATATATATACTGAAGCGCTGAGATCCCTTTAATGTAATGAACTACTTGTTAATTCCACAAGGACAGAGACTTCTTTTGACTCTTGGTTTTCACTGAATGGTTATTTCCAGAGCCTAAAGCTGCACAGGGAAAGAGCTCAATAAACTCAAATCAATGTTGACTTAATGAATGAATATAATTACAGTAATGAATAAAGGGATATTAAAAGCACTTGCCTTCAAGATGAGATAATGTACTGCAGAACTCTATTTCCACAGTGTTCTTCAATCTCACTGTGCAGTAAATAAATCTTTGTTGAGTAACAACAGAAATGGCTGCTGGGTTAATTTAAGTAAGCCAATGACTCAGAATGATATAATAAGGCAGAACATGCTTTCTTAAAGAATGTATTAAATGGAAATGTCTGAGTTGTGGATAAAAACATAGTCTCCCAAATATATAAGTATTTTAATGTGTTCATTAGCATTATCTTATATTGTTTAAAAGTATTGTAAAACCAACTTAAACTTTAAGGATCAACAACTTAAAAACTGATGTACATACACACATATGTTTACAAGCTACAAGCTTTAGCTTTTTTCATCCTTTTCAGTATATATTTTAAATATAAAGCACATTTAAAATGCCTATGTTAGACGTTTCACAGTGATAGAAGCAATGTATTGCACCTGCGCCTTTTAAAAGTGATCATGGGAATTTCACTTGTTAATTGATCAAAAATGTATGAACAGACTGGTCACCAGAAGTGTAGTAATTTTTTTAAAGTTTTTACTGTGAATTAGGTGGGGGTTTACACTTCAGCTTATCATTTTTGTAGACAAAAATTTAAGCAACTTATCAAGCCTCCCAGGAGCTAACTTGGTCCTCAGCCTGTTTGCATGTCTTCTCCCTCTTGCTATAGAGCAGTGTCCTCCCCGTCACCAGAGCTAATTCACCTTCACCTGCCTACCTACCCTCTAGTTATCGCTTCCCCTGCCCTCGCTCAAAAAACTGGACATTAAATATTAAGTTTTGTATTCAGATTGAAGGTTGCATTTTTTAGAGAGGGGGGGAAAAGGTTTCCACAGCTATAATGGTTTTGATTCTGGGTGTGTCAATATCTCAGAACAAGAAAATGGTGCACATGACAGCGTTCAGAGAACAATATGGTACAGTTTATGTCCTCCATAACTAAGCATTTTATCTCTGTGAGCTATGGATTAATGCTTTATGAAACCCTAATGGAGATTCTGAAACATTTGACTATCACTTCAATTTCCAAATTAAAGAAAAAAACTGCCAATATGCTCTACATATTGAAAACTCGTCAATCATATTGAACTAACTTGCCATATTAACTGTGATTATGCTTTATCAAATTAACTGTAAATATTATATAACTAAATCCTTCACAACAATCACGAACATAAGCTTTAACATATTAATCTTTAGAAATCACTACCATGAGAATAAACTTCAAGCAATCTGTCCTGAGTATAATTTCTAAATGTATATTGAAAGGTACTTATTAGAAAAGTATGGATAAAGTCTAAGGTGCTGGTGTTTCACTTAATTTTAAGGCCATGCGTAAACACTAAAAGACTATGGAAAGACAACAGGTGGCCCAGAGATGATGCTCTGGGCTGCTCACTGGAAGAGTGAGGAGCACAAGTGAGTGAGCACCCTGGTGCTACTCGGTCCTATAAAGTTGCTGAGTTGGAATTGACTTACCAGTGCTTTAAAAAAATTTTTTAATGACCATTTAAAAAATGACTGGAAATGTGAATAATTTTGGTGGAACTTACGGGAAACCAAACTCAACGTCACAAGCATAAAAAGCCATCCCAGGGTCAATTATTTCCGGAGCGAATACTATACAACTCAAGAATATGTGATTAGTCTTCTCCTTCTCCCAGCACTGGGCCTGAAAAGGGCAGTCTGTGGTGTCTGAGATGAATCCTTCAGCACAAGGTTGGTTTCTTCCGCTTGACATGAACTAGAAGTCTCCCAAGTGTACGAGCAGTTCCTGCCACTGGCCAGTCTGTAACGCCATGAGACACAGGTCCCTTTCCATGGGAGAGAAGAGGGTGAGCTATAGGGGACTACAGGAGGGAACAATGAGGAGGTGAGGAGGGACAACAGGAGTGGAAACTGGGGAAGCGTGACAAAGTGTAATCTGGAGGGACATAAGCAAGGTTTGGAGATGAAAGGTAATGAAAGGAAGTCCGGTGTGTCTGGGCCAAGAGGAAAGGAGAAATCCTACAGACATTCTGAGGGACAGGGGCACAGCGCTGAGAACGTCCAAGCTTTAGCAGGCGTCCTCAAACTACGGCCCGGCCCGCAGAGGACATTTATCCAGCCTGCCGGGTGTTTTTGCCCCGTTTGTTTTTTTACTTCAAAATAAGATATGTGTAGTGTGCATAGGAATTTGCTCATAGTTTTTTGTTGTTTTTCTTAACTATAGTCCGGCCCTCCAACTGAGGGACAGTGAACTGGCCCCCTGTTTAAACAGTTGAGGACCCCTGCTTTAGCGCCTTGATTTTTTCAATGCAATGGGAAGTTTTAAGTATCCAAGGATGCAAAAACACAAACCACACTCACTGTCTTAGAGCCCATTCCCAATCACAGTGACCCCGTAGGGCAGGGTAAACTGCCCCTGTGACATTATACAGAGAGTAGGAAGCCCCATCTTCTTCCCAAGGAGGAGCTGGAATTTTGAACTGCTAACCTTGCATTTCTCAGTCCAACGCATAACCCACTATCGGAAGAAGGCTGGGAGGAGAAAGTTAAAGAGGATGGAACAGGGAGGGAACACAGGTTCAGTAAAATGATTGCTAAAAGTATCCCAAGAATCTGTTTTCACAAGGCTCTGTACATAAGCTCTGTATGTATGTGTAAGTGCCTACACATCTGTTTGTATTTTTTCTCATGCTCTTTTAAGAGACCCGAGAAGTGTTGTTATTTCCATTTATATAGAGAAAAACTGAAGGTCATAGAGCGACATGGTAAAGACAGAGCTAAAGTACTGAGATGAAATTTACATAGGCATTTCTAATTCCCATTTGCTCTCTTTTCTCCATTTAAGATAGGTTTTATTTCTACATAATGCACTGAAAGATGGCAATTTCACATATCTGTATGAATTAAACTTGTGGTGCATAATATAAATACATGCCCATGTAGCAAATATCTTGGTAATACTTAACAGAATTGCATTCTGAGAAGTTGTAGAAATAAAAAACGGTAGTTAGTACCTACTCTGGCAAGTAGCTACGTAGATAGATACATCTCTAGGGGTGAAACCATTATGTCCTCAGCTGCTAACGAGAAGGATGGTGTTCTGAACCCACGTGGTGGCACTTGGAGCCCTGCTAGCATAGTGGTTATGTGTCAAGCTGCAAACAACAAGGTCAGCAGTTCAAAACTACTAGTCTCTCTCGGGAGCAGGATGAGACTTTGTACTCCCGTCAAGACTCACAGTCTGGGAAACAAATGCACGGGGCCATGGGTTTGGCTTGGTTTTACGTTGCTTCTGTTAGAAAACACCAGCAGATGGGCCCCATACACATGACAGCCGGAAAACCCTGGGGGCTGGGTGTGTGTGTGTGCTTCTACTGCCACACAAGCTGCTGTGAGTCATAATCAACTCCGTGGCACCCAAAAACTACACGCACAGTCATATACGTGGATATATGGAACATATATGTCAAATCTCATTTAATAGTCCCATTGATTTAATTTTGAATTGAAGGTGATTTTAGCAACATATTTTTAAAATGAGTCGAGCAAAATTTTCTTCCAAACTTAAATGTGCTGACTCTAGTTCACCATTTCCAAATGATTACCTACATGTTTACCACTTAGTGCATGCCTATTCTTGTCACTTAAGACTAGTATTTTGGTTTGGCCAAAAAGTGAAATGGTTTCCTCAACAAAACCTGCGGTTTGTAGTCAGACTTTGCTATTGCTACACTCGCACGCCCCGTGAGTCTCTTCAGCTACCAACTGTAGTTCTGACTTTTCTCAGATGACTGTGGGTCAGCATGGACATGCATACCTGTGGTATTTATGATCAAGTCTGTAAATGTTTCTTCCCAACTAAGCAACACCTAAATGTCTCATTGCAGGCCTGTACCGGCCCTTTCAATGGCAACAGTAAATTTGAATATGCACACGTGAGCAGTTCTAAATAGTAAAATCCAGGCAAACCATCCCCTGGTTAGAATGCAGAGTGTAGATCCCAAAAGAAGAAGAGTCACCACCCTGAAATATAGAAATGTTGCTGAAGCTCATGCAGCTGAACACACAAGAGGGTGAAATGCCAAACTTATATCTCACTGAGGACTTTTACAAGAGAATTTGAAGCACTGCTTCTAAATGCTTGTGCATGAGACAGAAATCAGTCTTTCTTCTCTACCTCCTAAACTGGTCACTTTATCTTTCAAGAAACTTGCTTACAAGGTGGCTCCTTACAGGAGAAGACTTGTTGGAGCCCATGAAGGGCCTCCAGTATTACCATCCTTACAGAACAAAGGTTGACGGAAGCCAACATGCGACTGTGTGGGATGATTCCCTTTGAGAAGATGCAAGCTACCAATGGTCAAAACTCAGGGTCCACACCATTCAAACTCTATCTTCAGTCTACTTCCCATTAAGAAGTTGACTTAAGGTATCTTCTGAAGAAATGAGAGCTAACAGTGACACTGAAATGCGAGGCCAATTCTTTGAGAACTACTTATTCAACAGTTTATTTAAATATTGGGTACATAATTTATGCCCTCATAAAATTCAATGAAGAGCTTTCATTATAATCAAAGAAATCTACATGCCTGAAAAGGTTAATGGTTTATATATTAAACCTTACATGTAGCAAAGTAAAGTTAGGAAATATATTTCTATTCATACAGTCCTTGCACAAATATTTGAGGCTAGTAGTCAACAAATTCTTCTTATTTTTATTGATGGATCTTTGCTCTCTCAGATGACTGTTAGAGAAACTAAATGGACACCTCAGAAATAATATTTGTTTAATAACTGGAAGTAGCCTGAATGGAATCAAAAGCATATAGATTTGAGGAAAAATTTTAATGATGCTGAAATAATTGAAATCATGTGTGGATAAGCTGGGAAAGATGGTTAGAGATTGAAAACTTGCCCAAGGGATCTGAGTTATTTACAGAAAAATTGTTTTTCATTGAGATTTCAAAATGCATAGTTGGAAGGATAACCTTTATTTTTCATGATAACATTTATATATTTAATTGAGCCCCGTATTTCATTACTCAAAGTTCATCTGTCAACTCCTTTATAAAACTAGATTTCTACTCATCACTTGTGTATTACTTATAACCTTTTGTCAATGGACATACAGTGTTCTAATTAACTAAATAATAATATAGTGAGCTATCTACTGAATTGTTAACCGAAGGTCAGAGGTTCGAACCCACCAGACACTTCTCAGAAGAAAGATGAGGCTGCCAATTTCCATAAAGAGTTAAAGTCTCAGAAACCCACAGGGGTAGTTCTACCATATCCTACAGGGTTGCTATACATTGGAATTGACTTGGTAGGGGTGAGGTTTTAAGAACTGCTAACTGCTCCTATACACCACTAACCAGGAAACCCACCCACACCCCCTCACTCTCATCTCTTGACCATGCCTCCTATTGTCCAGATCTTAAATAAAATGTGGATTCCGGAGTGGTGGAAATGATTGTGCACTTGACCACTGTGCAATTTGAACCCCCTGAAAAGCTTCTCAGAAGACAAACCTGGCAATGTGTTTCTGAGAAAACACAGCTTTAAGAACCCTGGGGAGCGGTTCCGCTGCGCACACATGGACGGGGTCACAAGAGTCGGAACAGATGATGGGCACTACTAGCAGCTCAGAGGTAATCTCTGGTCATCTTGCCCGCTCACAAGTTCAGTCCTTGCACTTAGCACACGGATTGGCATATATTTTCTGACCGTCTGACTCTCTGGCATAGATTCTTTCTCAGTAGAGCCTATTGTGTGATAGCATCACTGGTGCCCTGCATTTATCTTTGGATCTCTCAACCCAACTTACAAAAAGTTATTAAATGGTCTATAATTTTAATACTCATAACTAACCATGCGTCTTCCATACTTAAAGTCCAACAATAGCTCACAGCTAAAGACAATGGAAGCTGAAAGGCCACAAGGTCATTAACGGCATACACTCTAAGGATTTCTCCAGATTTCTTGCCGGCCTTCTCTCCCCGTCCCCTGAATGCCAGTGTCCTTCCATCCACACCCAAAGTGGCAGTTTTCTCAAACTGGAGGATATATTTAAAGTCTCAGTGTTTCCTGACACTGCTCTCTCATGAAAGAATCTACCTTTTACATCTGTTTCCTAACCTCATTCTCACCGCACTTTCTTCTGAGCGCTCACTGTAGCTTGGGCTCCCCTCGGCAATACAAGCTAGGACATGCCAATGCACTCACTCATTTGTCTCTGTCTCTGTGGTGGCTGGAGCAATGAGTGGGTTTATGAATATATGCTAGCGCTCGTGTTACAGTTGTTTTTAGAGCCATGTCAAAATAAGTATTAATATCTTAACCTAGAAATACTAAAAAAAATCTGTAGAATTGAGTTATTAAGCCATAAAAGTCAGTAATACTTTAATTCAGAATGTATCTTTGGCTGAGATTTGCATGTAGAATCTTTGATTAGCCAATTGTAGAAAAGCGATTTAAAGAAAAAGAGGACACTTTTCAAATAAACGATAGACATGCAAAACACTTGCATATCCGAGGTAGTATGATCACTGGTATCATTTAAGTTATCTCAGAAACAAAATACTAATGCCCTAAGATATAATAGGACAAGGGAGTTATTTAATTACCTTTAGTCATCAGGATGATCACTAAAATCCTAAGATTTAAGGCTTTACAGATTATTTGCTCTTGTTTCTTGAATCAGAGCCTTCCTACCTCGGAGTACATGTACTTCACCATATGTCTTTGTCCATCACGTTTGTGTTTACGCACGGATGTAACATGAGCGTGCAGAGACCCCTGGGTGTGTCGGTAACATGGACCATGGCCGCACAGCACAACACCAAGCCTACCTTTCTGCATCAGAGCCAGTGCCTTTCCTAGTCTGTTTTGGGATGCTAGATCTCTCAGACTTTCTGGAGTGCCTGTGGAATGAAATGTTAAAGAAATACAGAATATATGATGAATCAAGCTACGGTAACACCATACAATGACTTTTAAAAAATAGACATGAAAAATGGCAACTCTCTTACTTAAATGGTTTTGTAAGTTAGTACATTAAAATAAAACAAAAGCAAAACTCAGAATCATTGCAGTGTGGAAGACATAAGCTGCCCAGCAGGTGATCTAAGAAACTGCAGTCAGATTTAATCATAAAAACATGGGTCCCTGTTGAGCATCTTTGCTTCCCCTGAAGAGCACACACATTCCAAGGTGAAATGGCACGGTAACCCATGGGGATGGAGATGACAATGGCTTACATGTTGAAAGACCACAGAGGGGCAACCTTTCCTTCACTTATCCAAAGTGAAGTTTAGTGCAACACTTCTTGTTCCCACTCACAAAATTGTGAAGAAAAACCCTATAGTGAAACATGTTTGAGAAAACTGACAGCTTCTTCAATCAACTATTAACATTATTCTCTAAATTATAGTAAATTGTAGGAAGGATGCTTTTGTTATCATACAGCATGTTACAATCTTAATCACATGCCACAGGAAACAATAATAAAGTTCTCAGTTTACAAATATATGGCACCTGAAATATATTTTCCCATGGGAGTATCTTATATATAGGACTCAGGCAGCTCACTCACACTTGTCAATTTATCCTCAAATGTGTCTAGATTGCTGGGTCTTGAGAAAAAATAAAATACTGTGCTCAAAAGCACATTTTAAACAGAAGCTGAGATAAACTACAACATGCAATGTTTACTTCTAATTGGTTATTGATTCTCCACAATAATCTGACTGAGCTAGGTGTCTGCTTTTACTGATTTCACACAGTCTGAGTGTCTAGAATATGCCAGGGTGTGTAAGGCACTAGAATGAGCACTGGTGGTGTAATAGCTAAACAGTTAGTCTGAGAATCTAAAGGTTGGCATTTCTAACCCACCAGCCACACCTCAGGAGAGAGATGCAGTGGTCTGCTTTCATAAAGATTTACAGCCTTGGAAACCTGATGCTGGGGCATTACTTCATCCTGTGGTATCGTGATAAGTCAGAAAGGACAGGCTGGGAATGCATGTGTCTGAGTACAAAGTCAGCCTGCAGAAGACAGCGATTTCGGGGGCTGCTTTTATCTCTCGAAAAGGGAAGAGAGGAAGGAGGCATTTCTTAATCACCGGCTCCCATTACTAGCTGGAAAAGAAGGCATATTGAAAGATAAGTCTGCCAGGCACTGAGTGAGGCACCAACATGTTAAACCATCATTAAACAATCCTTTTAAGAAAATATTTACAGATAAGAAACAGGCCCAAGGCAGCATCACTGTCAGGACATAGCAGATCTGGTTGTAGAATGTAGTCTGTCTGGCTCCTAAACTGATTCTATCACAGATCACCCAGCAAAGAGTGGAGGGAAACCTATAAAGAGTTGGTACAAGGGGAAGTTGGCTCACACATGTGCCCCGTGGTGCATCCCAGAAGGGAAAGAGCCATGAAATCTGACGTAGACCTGATAAAGTACTAAGAAATAAACCTCTCTCTGATATTAAGGAGCACTGTTGACTTTATGACTCATAGGCTCAGGAGAGTGGCTGGTGGGAGAGATGCACACAGCAGATGTAGGGAGCAGAGTAGAGATGTACACAGCACAGATGATGCTTGAAATGAATGGGAGATGGATGAAGGAAAGGGGAAACTTGTTCCTGTGCTACAAGGAAGGAAGCCATCTACACAGCAGGAAGAGGTCAAGGGAAGGAAGGACTGGGGAGGATCTGTAGGGTCAGGAGGTTTCTGAACTCAAAAGAAATGGAAATGAAACATTCTGTGATATATTATTTTAGTTCCAAAACGGCTCAGGACACCTGCCTTGGAGAACAAACGTTCTTTCTCTCATCACCATAGTAAGAGCCCAGTGTTTCAGGAAGACTCATGAAACCTTGCTGTCCTTACGGGTTTTCACTCAATCAGCAAACATTTATTGGGCATGTTTTGTCAGGGACTGAAATAGATACTTAAAATATTACTGTGAACCAAACAAAGATCTCTGTGTTCAAGAAACTGTCATTTTATTAGCAGAAGACTGTTGACAATAACAAAAAAATCCAATACAAGTAAATTATATTCCATGTTAGAAAATGGCAAATTCCAACAACAACAACAAAATGTAAGTAAATATTAGAAACCTAGGGGAGGAACGGGGCCAGGAGAATACTCACTAGAATTTGACATTAGCAACCACTTTGAGCAAGGGAGTTAGTGGATGGGAAACAGCATCCCACACAAAGGAAAAAGCAAGCACCAAGGCCCTAAGGCAGGTGTGTGCTTGCTTATTCAAGGAGCAGTAAGGAAAACAGAAAGGCAGGGGTGCAGAGGCATAAAGTAGAAAATCTAGGGCAGGTGAGTGGGAGAGTGGTGTGGAATCTGGTAGGTAGACTTTTCTACGGACTTCAAACTCTGCACAATAAAACGGCCATAAGCATCTTTCAGAACTTTCCTGTTTTTCCATTTATTTCTAGTAATTTCTGTTAGTCTTTCTTAACCCAGTGGAAATGTCACTTTATCCAACAAATGCCCAAATTCACCTTCTGAAACTTAATGGATCCAAAGACCAGCTGGCTTATAAGAGAATTAATGATGATGAAGACAACGACAATAATGACGATACCAGTATCTAGCACATTTATTAAGAGCTTGGTATGTACTAGCAAGGTTAGTTTACCTATATTAGCTCATCTAATTTTTCAACAATACAAAACTCCCCTGTTGTCCTTTATAGAAAGGAGAAGTTTGATACTTAGAGAAGATAAATAACTAGCTCCAGCTCACATGATCATTTAAGTGTCAAAAGAGGATGCAAACAGAGAGTCCTTAACCTCAACAGCAATGGGCACACTGTGTCTCCGGCATAAATGACATTGCAAATAGAAGTTAAGAACATTCAAAATGTGCTTTATGGATTTAGTAAACTGTATGGGTTTAATCTCAGTTCTCTGTCTAGTCAAGTTACTTAACCTTCTCTGTCCTTCAGTGTTTCCATCTGCATGTTGAGGTGGCTGAAACCACAGTAAGATCAAAAAACAGCGAGTAAGCCTTTACTCACTGCCACCACATCGTCCATTAGGACACTTAGCAACCAAGGACAGAGAAGAGCTGACCTTGTAAGCTGAGACTGTGAATCTTTATGGGAGTAGAAAGTCTCATCTGGTGGGTTGGAACTGCTGACCTTGTAGCTAGCAGTCCAATGTATAGTGTGACCCACTACATCACTTTGTCTCAATTGTCATGGCAACATCAATGTCTAGAATTTAGTAGTTGCTTAGTAAGTGACTGCTGAATGATTAAGGAATTAATAATAATTTAACATTAGTAAGGAATTTGAACATCTTAGAATTAAAATGAGTAGAAAAACAAACTAGGGTATGCAATCCAACTTACATTAAACCACATAAGTTAAACAATAAAACTGTATTATTTTCTCAGCATCAATAGGATAAAATCCCTTAAATAAGAATTGTCGTTTAATTTATTGTATCATTTATAACGGATGCTGGTGGTTATTAAGAGTCCCGTGGATGTATGATTAATGTGATACAAACTCTGTGTTAAAGTCTTAAGGGCAGAAGAATCAGTTAGTCCAACTACAACGCTCTGAATGTGCAGGCGAGAAGACTGAGCTCCACAGCTGACGCGACAAACCCAAGGTTACAGCTTCAACTGCTGGGAGGGCGCCACCGTGGGTCTCAGGCCCTTAGAGGCTCTGCACGCGCTGCTCTCCTGTGACGTTGGAGGACCGGATGTTTGTCTGAGAAATCATTTAACAGAAATGAGCAAGAAAGGGGCCACTGGTTCAGTGTTTCCATCATGGCTTATCCACTTCTGACTTCAGCACTTCAAAACTTTGCTATCATTACTTTACTAATCATGAAAATGTTGACGTGTTATAAACCATATTTGGTTTAAATATGTAAGAGACAGACATTCTGAGTAGCTCTCTTCAGTTTAATAGCTGATTGTCTTTATCCTTAAGCTTCCTAGTTCACAGGCAGGAATGGAAACCTCGTAGAGCTACGAAAGTATCTTTGAGTATAAAGCATACAACAGTCATTTTATTAGTACGTTGAAGCAAGAGTAGTAATCAGAAAACTGGGGATTTCTCAAACATTCTTTCTCAGCTTCTATTTTTTATTGTTATTGATTCTCTTTTCATAAGTATGAAGAATTTAAAATGTAGTAATAAAAAATAACTGTTCAAGTAAATATCTATGCTAATCTTGACTAATCTGTATAAAATATTTTGTAAAAAATTTCCTGAAGACATTATTATTAAATATTTCTGCAAATACTATAATTCTGTTGAAACTGTCAAATATATTTATCAAAACAAAATTCACTGCCATTGAATTGATGCCGACTCATAGTGATCCTGTATGACAGGGTGGAACTGCCCCGTGGTTTCCGAGACTGTTAAATCCTAATGGGAGTAGGAAACCTCGACGCACGTACCCCCCTTTTATGGTTGATATTTAAGACTGAGACCCTTAGAATCAATATTAATTTAATACATGGATACATTTCTTTCCTTACAAATGAAGGACATTCTTGGGAAGCATACATAATAAGAATGTTATGAATATAAGAAAATAAGAAGAACACTTTCTAACTTCCCCTAAAGTTTCAAATATATTCACTTCCTCATCTTTGTTTTAGATATTGTACAACTCGCAGGCAATATACATGAATCTAAAAAAATGCACCCCATATTAATTTCAAATAAACCTATGGTATTATCAAAGTCATTAGAGGTGACGGCAAGAATACTTACTACTTAAATTGATCATGAAGAAATGGTACCTAAAGAATTGTGTGCATGTATGTGTGCATGTGTATGGCATGAGATAAGGCAGTAAAATACTTATCAAGTTCTTTGAATTTTTTAGAGAACTAGAGCACTCTCTCAAGCAAGAACGTATTTCTGATATCATCATGTTATTTCCAAAATAATAATAATAATATCAAGTGTGGCTGAAGGGGTAAGCTGTCACTGCTGTTTAGAACATATTTCTGGTTGAAGTCACCCAAGTCCAATCCTTATGAATATTAACTATGACCAAATCTGCTGCCACGTTTGCTTCACTTAAAAATTGATAAAAGTATTTCAAAGAGTAAATAAAGATGATGCTAGGTGAAATACAAAGTTCTTTACGTTTATCAAGAATTTGGTCCAGTTACCCATGAATTTAGCATTATATTATAATCTCTACCTTCTCTTTATAGACACATTATTCTGATAATTTAAAAGTTGTAATTAATTTCTTTGCCACACTGTAATGATTCATAGTATAAAGCTCTTCGAAACATATTTTATAGATTGATCAGAAGACATATTTATAAATAAGAAGATAATAAAGTGTACATTCTAAATTAATGGGTTTCCTTTGATATTCTTAAAGTGCACAAAGGCAAGACCTTGGGCAAGGTAGGCCAGGTAGCCTTATTGGCATTACAGAGTAAGCACTGGATTTCTAGCCAAAAGTGGCTCAAACCTCCAGCCACTCCAAACTCACTCTCGAGTTAATGCAGATTCATAGCAACCCCTATAGTGCAGGATAGAACTGCCCCTGAGAGTTTCCGGGACTTTCACTCTTTAGGGCAGTAGAAAGCGGTTGCTGGTTTCAAATGGCTGACCTTGCAGTTAGCATCCAATGCATAACCACTAAGCTGCCAAGGCTCCCCTCTAGCTACTCCACTCCAGAGGAAAAACATAAATTTCTCTGCTGGTACGAAAAAGATACAGACACTGTGAATCAGAATTGACTCGATGGCAGTGGCTTGGGTTTGGGTTTTGAGAAGTTACTTTATTCTCAGTCTTCTTGTCTGTAAAATTATCAAACCAGATAATTTTATTTATTTATTTAAAAAATTTTAATTAATGAATCATTTTACTATGGTCTTTAACATATATTATTAGAGCAATCCATATACTCATTATATCAAGTGGATATGTACAAATGTTGGCATCAACCATTTCAAAACATTATCTTTCTTCTTGAGACCTCTAATACCAGCTCCTCTTTATTCCCTCCCTCCCTCCTCCCTACCAACCCAAATCAGATAATTTTAAAGGTCCATTTCTGCTTCTAAAATACACCTTTATAGCTATATATGCAATCTGCTGTATCGGATTATGAATAATTTAAATACCTTTAAACAAAGATAATGACATCTCAGGTATGTAAGAACTGAAATTACTTTGATTTTCCATTTTGTATTACCAATTTAGAAATTTATACTTACAGAGAAACTTTCATTGGTAGTCATATTCAAAGAGTCACTACATATGATAAAGTCCACTGTTTGCTTTGTTTTGTAATAAATTAAGAAACTTCCAGAATTATCTTTTCTAAAATAAATTCTAAGTTTCTTGATTGCCAAACATTCTTATCTTTCTTAATCATGGTCTTCGACCATCCCCCTTAGAGCAGTGCTCATGCAGGGTCACACAAAGTGTTTGTTGGATAATGCTGTAAATGTGGATGCAAAATTTTCATTGATTCATAGTTATTTGCTACTTTTACTGGAAAACACTCCACTTGTGAAATGTTTATATAGAATTGTTGACTGATTTTCCTATTCCTAGAAATTCCATCCTAGAAATTAGATACTAAAAGGAGCAAATGGTTTTAATTTCCAAATATAAATATGTTCATATAAGAATGTCTTCAAGACTAGCACATGCTAAAATATTTCTGAAATTTTTAAAAATGTAAGTTTTAGGTCTTTTTCACTATTTAAAAAATTATTATCAATTTTCTATTTAGTGGTAGCATTGTTTTTCTTTCAAATTTAAATCCTGAAGCTATTCTGATTGTTTACAGTTAAACAAAATAAACTTTATAACTCAGTAGTCTATCATATATGCAGATACCTGCACTCCCCTTGCCCAAAGAAACTTGTACGGCCATTTAACTAGCTGTTCTAATTGTTCTGATATATGTCATCTATTTATCTTCCCACAAAATATTAATTCATGTGTTCATCGATTTTCTGTTTATACCAGAAGAGAACATACCCAAAGTACTTTTGGGATTAAAGTGTACATATTTGAAGTCAAGCACTATGTATGCCAGCCACCGTGACAGAGGGGAGCTGAGCAAACCGCAAATGAGCAGGGAACAAAGCAGTGGGAAATGCACACTGCAGCCCTTCTCATCCCAGCCGGGAAGTGCATTTGGAACACTGATGCTTCTTCTCACACCGGCCTTCTGGACTGGCCCTAGCCCTGGACAACACTCCCTTTAAAAGCACAGTATTGATAAAATATATCAGAATCAGATATCCTACTACTTCAATCCCGAAATATATCCCAAGTAAAACTTTATTATTAACGAGCTTACGTAGTCACAAAACAATACAAACTAAACCATGAACCAATATAAGAAAAGTCGTCTGTGATTTTATTGCACTATGAAGCACCTGAGAATTGTTATTTCTTCACACATGCACAAAAATCAGTATTTATTATATATGCTTACAGAATCCAAAAAGTTGAAACAAATGCTCATTAATACAGAAACTCTCCCAGTGGATTCCAACTTTGCTCAGTTAAAACATATGCAGGCTGTCCTCTGTTCAGTAAGCAGTCTGAGGTGCTTTACTCTCGTTGGACCCACCCAGTGGTGGAATCTCAACATAACTGCCTACGGACCCTGGAAGGAAGCATGTCATGACCAACATTTCTCTTGGTTATCCTTCACGCAGTGGCCTGCACACCCCCAAAGGGGCTATTCTGTGAGGAGGGGGTGACTAGTACCTGTCATTCTCCGGAGATGCATGCTGGATTTGAATCCTGGGGCTAGGAGGCCGTCTCCTATCTAGGGAGGGGGACCATCTACCCCTGTTTGCCCAATGAACAAGACAGGAAAAAACAGGACATTTAGTAACTCGTAAAATAAAAATAGGGAACAACAGGACTGGAAAAACACCCCAAAAAGACAAAGTATAGCAGTTTTGTTTTTTTAATCCATTTCTTACTCTTTACTTTTAAAAGTCTTAAAGTAAAATACTGGAAGAAAACAAAAACGCTTATCTTAAATATAACTATGAAACTATTTATTTGGGGTCATGTTTGTGATCTCTCTGTCATTTTCCTCTTTATAAGTGCCTTTGTGTTTGCATATGTACTTAAATGGACACATATACATATGTCTGCACATAGCCATCAGTTCAGAAAGAGGCATCCTTAAGAGCTTCTTGTTTTAATGAGATGCATTCCGTAGACTAACAAAGACACTAACTACCTAAGCCTACCATTTACTGAGATGGGTGGCAAAGGTAGTGTTAGCAAATTTAAGTAATAGGAACAGAGTTAGGTGCAAGAAATAAAAAGGTCTCTTGTAGAAACAATGGTATAAATAAGTAATTGTTGGGAAAGTCACTTAGTAAAATCTTAACACTAATATTTAGGAAACAATGAAGAGCCAATCATTAAAATTAAAAAAGAAAATTGACAGTACAAACACTGATGAATAAGACTAGTGAACATATAGATACATGACGGTAAAATACCTTTAAGTTTTCTAAAAATCTGATAATCTTTAATTACAGAAACCTTTAATTTCATTAGAGAGCTCTTCTTAAAAGTTTCAGCATTTATAACATTTTTTTATGATTAACAAGTGTAAGTTTGAAACTTGGTCCATATTTTTGGTCAAACTGAAAATCTGTGTGTAACTACAAATTAATAGTATCTAAATGAAAATAACTGAAAAAAGGCCAATAGAAAACCCAAGCCAGATAATGCAAATTTTACATATGTTAGCAAGGTAATTCCCCTGGTACTGATGTTCTCATATGCAACAAGCATGAATTAAAAGGACTGGGCTAGCCACAAGACTATAAGTACCCAAAGGATATTAATTTCAATATTAAAAAAAGCAACAAAAATCACCTTTCTTGTCATTATAACTTGGCGAAATGAATTAATAAACAATGACAACCAAAAGCAGTGATGACCTGGACTATCAGCATACGACCTGGATTCCTGAGGTTGCAGGTACTCCATTTGCAAGTCCCTTGAAAACCTATTCTTACTCTATCAGGTCTACACAGAACAAGGCATCCTGGGCTCCAGCTGGGTTTGGAGGAAGGCCTGAGGTGAATGAAGATTTTCAGTAGCAGCCTTGACATAAGAGAAAACTGTGTGGATGTTCTCTTAAATGTGTAAACATGTTTTTAAAATTAAAAATACTTCACATTAATTATAAATTTATAAAATTGTTGATCAATACCGTCTGCAATATTTTTTCCTTTAACAATTTTTTTTCTTTCCTGATTTTTGTTCTGCATATTAAATAAAGAAAAATATTTCTAAATCAGCTGGAAATAATTACAACTATAATGTCACCTACATGAAGTTATACTCAATTGTTAATTTAGTTGTGATTTGAAACAAGAAAGTTGAGTTTACATATTTTTCTTTAAAAAAATTTTTTTTCCTTTCTGTAAATTAGTAATACTAGCCTGACAGGCTTATATGACCTTGCTTCCTGAGGCAAAATTCCAGTCCTTGTGTTTATTTAAGCATAAATAAAAGTAAAGAAAGAAAAAATGCTATAAATTATAAACCATGCAGTTAAATACTGAGAAAGTGTACATTTAGAAACAAGCAATTGAAGATGCAAGCTACTAAAATATAATTTTTATAAATCAAATATTATAGCTTAATACACATTCATATGTACACTCAAAGTCCCCAATATGCTGATATGTAGGACCAATACAAGAAATATTTGGGTTTTTTCTTTTTCTTATACCGGGCAAGATCAATTTATACCCATCCCATTTTTTCCCCTCAAAGAATAGTACGTTAAGTTTGACTGTCACATATATATGAATTTTAAGTCTATGAGCATACTGTGTACATATAAATATATATATACAATTGTATCATTTCATATCATAGAATAAAATGACCACAATTATAATTTTTGTCCCCACATGACTGAGAAATAGACACAGGATCAACTTCTACTTTCATATTATAAACTAACAGAGCGGGTGAGGTTGTGTGGGATTTGATCAAGTTATACTAAACGAGCCCATTCTGGATTCCTCTCTGCAAACTAGAGTACTTGCAACTTACAAGAGTGACTCCATTCGTTACCCTCCTAGTGGTTTACGACCAGGCACTCGGTATTTATTAAGTCAGGAACATCTATTTGTTGAACAACAGGTTACTGTGGAGGCGAGGCAACAGGTCAAAACCACCAGACACTCGCAGGGAGAAAGACAAGACGCTCACCCCAGGGATGGTTTTTCTACCAAGCTCACAAGGGCAGGTCTAACCAGCTCACCGGGTCACTAGGGGTCAGCCCGAGAGTTGCAATGGCAGTGAGTTTTCATTTGATTTGTGGTGGCCAGGTGTTTGTGTTACTAGTCTTGAGCATGCTGCAGAAGAGGATCAGATATTTTTCCTTTTCTTTTGGGTTTTTGACAATTGTGTGTATTATGCATCACACAAGACTAAGCAATAAATAAACATGTGTGAATAGCTAAGTGAATAATAACGAGATAAAATGGTAGGTTTTGCAGTCATCCAGGTATGAAATAATGGCAGCCTTAACTAAAGAATGAACTGTGGTTGTAAAATAGAGACACATTGATGAGACATAAAAAATTAGAATGGACAGACCTTAGGAAGCAATTAAAAAGTTCTTAAATTGTGGTCCCTGACACTGCCCCAGAACTGATAAACAATGATGGAAATGTGTATGTGTTTAAACATGTAATTAGTGCACCCATCTTTCAATCTCCAAGTACAATATAACTAAGTAGCTTAATTATGGAAAAGATAAACTACATGTAATTATTTATTTCACACCATTCCTTCCAGTAACTGTAGAATTGAAAGTATTTGTGAAGTATTATAACATTGAAATACAAACACAAATGAGTTTGAAAAATATTGTATGCAGTACGTTATTGTTATTGCCAATGTTCAAGCTAGTCCTTTAAAGTCTCCCCTATAGTCTTTTCAATTGACTTTCACTGATTTTAATTAATGCACTTATTTTAAACAAGGCTCATAATGTCCATTTCAATTCAATTTGCACTGTTGAGCTCTCAGTGGGAATTTCCTGTAGTGCTGCAAAAGGACATCTGTCCTTCCCCCTCTCTCCTTCCCCCTATGCCGCCAAGGGAAGGAGGAATTCCTTATAAGATCAGGGAGTGTGAGGTAAAGAACTGAGCATGGCTGACTTCACCTTCCCCAGACTTCTCTTGCCAAACCAGGCTGAGGCAGCAAACAGCAGACCAAATGCTTTGATATAAGCCAAGAGTTTAAAAAACTATCCATGTCGGGCACCTCTTGAGATTCAGGGAATCTGGCTTATTCAGTGGTTAGTTATTTGCAAGTCTGAAGAATTAAAACCATAGTTGTTAATTGTAGTTTTGGTGATATATAGATTCTCATCTTTTTGATTGTAGGGTTTGGCTCACAAAGACTCCAATTTGGGAAGAGAAAATAGGGGGCGACTGAGCACTCAGTAAGTTAAAAAGAAAAGTAATGTGGTCCATACAGTTGACAGAGACATAGGGTATAATGCCTGTTCTCAAAGGATTTACAATGTAGTAGAAGAAACAGACTTAATAATAAGTAAAATGTGTTTTAATATGCCTATAGTATTTGTAGGGCCTCAAAGCAACAAATTATACATCAATTATGACATATAATTTATAAAATAAAAGTGTATCAAATGCATAATCTATCAATATAATAAACACTATAATATTTGTGGGACTGTAGGCAAAAGGAGAGTACAAGAGCGTGGAGAACATTTATTTTCACAGAAGATATGACATTTAAGATCATTTTGAAGAAAGAGTAGAATTTGTAAGTAGACTGCCAAGGAGGAAGAGTATTTCAATTTTAATGGAAAAAACTTGAGACAATATACAGTAGAGATTTGAGCTTGTAAGAAATTAATGGGGAGGAAAGAACTAGGAGGAAAGGGGCTGTGGCCCCACAAGGGTTCCACTGTACCTCTTACACGGCTGAGGGTTCTCTTTGGGACGAACTGAAAGGCCCGGTGGCGTCACTCAATAGGGAAGCCCACACAAGTAGAAGTGTTTTCAGTGCCGTGGTTGGCTGTAAACATATCCACGACAGTGACCAACTGAGAGAGACATTTTAAAGGGGGAGTCACTTCTCTTAAAACGACGGAAAGAGAGATAAGGAACTTGGTGTCGACATTCTGATATATTCCAGTACCTAGCATCTATTTAGCAATCTGGGAGTAGCACACAGACGGGGATGTCTGGCTTGGCACGTTACTGGGTAGGGCTGTCTTTATACGTGGTATCTGACCATACTGTGAGCATGGTGCCAAACTGGGCAGTATTTCATTGTTTGCGTAGGGTCATTGTGAGTCAGAAAGGACTTGCCAGCAGCGAACAATTATAACTGCATTATAAATACAACTGAAGGGAGAGTAGAGGTGAGGCTCGAAGGCAGAGGAAATCGGTATGGAGTTGGGGCAATATTGATCAGTAAGGGCTAGGAGAGGGAGAGAAGCTGTATCACAGCAGAGGCCTAAGAAAACCTGCCAGTGGCTCTCAACCTCCCTGATGCCACGACCCTTTAAGACAGTTCCTCATGTGGTGCCAGCCCCCAACCATAACATTATTTTCGTTGCTACTTCATAACTGTCATTTTGCTACTGCTCTGAATCAGGCGACCCCCGTGAAAGGGTCATTTGACCACCAAAGGGGTCGCGACCCACATGTTGAGCACCACTGCGAGAGGTTCAAATGAGGATGGTCACTGTCAGAGGCAGCCAGGCGCTGCTATATAATTAGGAAGTCGAACGTAACCCGTAGAATCATTCCAGCACAGTGGCAGGGCCGAGGGTAGCATAGCAGTCAGGCTGCAGAAAGCAAGTGTTCCTGAGGAATATGGAGGCAGGAAGACTAGACCATCCTTTCATTAGCCTCCAACAGGCTACCAATGTTAGGAAAGATCAAGGAGGAAGACACAAGAGTTAAGAAAAGCAACTATCTGTCAGTGGCTCTAAAATTCATGTCTCCAAATATTTAAACATTTTGTTCCAAACCTGGGGGAAAAGGGTTTAATAGCCCTTTAACTCCCTCCTTCTGTAGCAGGGAAACCTAGGTAAAGGTTGGCCTCAAGCAAGCCTGATGGACATGGAAGGGAGTACAAAGAGTTGGTCAGTCACCTTGCTCACTTGCAGTGGCGTTTGCTAGTGAAATGATGAGAGTGCTTTGTCTGTAAGCAGTGTTTGGTGGCCTATAACTGGTATTTCTAGATAGTTTATTGAATATTGACCAGAGACTTCTTGGTTTATGGGGAATCCCTGGAATGGGGAATGAGTAATCTGTAAACATTTGTTTTTCCTATTTGTGTAATCAACAAAATATTAAATTGAGAAGCACCAAAATAGAAACCGCTTCCTTTGTAAATGGGGTTTGTACATCCATTGCTCAAAGCACACCTGTCAGCTTTGGCCAAGCCATTCCAATAAGCCAAAAAAGATGTATCTAATATCTAATAGTGGGCTCCGTAGGAAAGATTGCTTCACCGATGTCTGGTGCTTGTCTGTCTTTTGAATCATTAGTGAAATTCGGTGTTAGGTACGGGCACTACTTTGGACATTGCTTCCGTTAATGCTAACATAGCGCTTAACTTGTTTTAAAAGTTAGTGAGGACACTAAAAGTTTGCTTTAAAAGTTAGTGTGGACACTTCAGAAAACAGGTTTAAGTTGGCAATACAGCTTATCCATGTCACAAACATCTGCTGATGTTACAATCAGCATATTATTTAGGACTTGGAAGTGCATTACTGTTTTATGAATAGAAAGCGCTTTATTATCTCTCTCTGTTTTTTACTGTGCACATAGGAGCTCTGATGCTGCAGAGGTTTCCGCACACAGGCATTCTGGGAGAGAAAGAGGCCCTAGCATAGGATTAGTCTCACAAACACTATACAATGTCACTGAGTCAGAAGTGACTGCATGTCAGTTACACACATACTTATTAAGCATAAGCATATATTATTAATCTAAGGTCAACCAAGGAAGCTTTCTTCTCCCTACAAACTGCATATCCTGTCTAAAAACATATTTTCCAAAAATAAAATTACCTCGGATGACACTGGTATGTTCCGTTTTGAAGTTGTTCATATATGTGAATACAAAAGGAATTTTTGTGGTCCCTTATTTCAAACAAATCGTATTACAAATTGGGTAATGTACTTGAAATTTTATCTCACTTTATCTTCTTCTTGGGAACAAAATGACCCAAATAAATTTACCTCTTTGATAATTCCAATCTTGACCCTCTTTGACATATTTAATGATACATTTAATATGAGGAGTGGATTTTGGTTTTCAATCTAAGTTAAAGGTAAGTACACTCAAAATGAATACTGACCTGAATAATTGGAGCCTATTTATCTCCAGGCCTAGCTGTTTTAAGGGTATGACCTAAGAGGTTAAATTCACCCCCGCACAGATTTATGATCTTTCTAGTTCCAGGGTTATAAGGTAACACATGGAAAGAGATGTATAGTGTCCAACAGAGTAGCCAGGAGCCTCATATGGCTACTGAGCTCTGAAACGTCGTTAGTGTGAGTTGGAAAGTCTACTCAGTATGAAACAAACACAACATCCATTGACTCAATGTGGGAAAAAAGAATGTAAAATAGTTCACTCAGTTTTCATATTGATTGTCAAAATGGCATTATTTTGGATTTATTGGGTTAAATAAATTGCTAAAATTAATTTTATACTTTTTTAATCCAGCTACTAGAAAATTGAAAACTACACTTGTGGTTCTCATTATATTTCTATTAAACAATACTGATATCAACATTTAAAATACTTGGGTTGCAATAGAGTCAAGAAATTCCACTAATCTGCACAATTCTACCCTGTTTTAAAACAAACCAGAAAAATACAAGTTACAATAACTAAAACATGTTACTAGTTTTGGCTTTCTTCTTTCTGATTATCTCCTTTGTTCTTGTTGTTAGGTGAAATTGAGTCAGCTCCAACCCACAGCGAATTGACACCCAACAGAATAAAATACTACACAGTCCTGTGCCATCCTCACAACTGTTCCTCTGCCTGAGCCCACTGATGCGGCCACTGTGTCAGTCCATCTCCTTGACAGCTTTCCCCTCCTTCACTGTCCCTCCACTTTACCAAGCATGATGTTCTCGGCAGGGACTGCTCTCTCCATACCACCCCCCAAAGAAGATCATTCTTTAAAGAATTAAAAGAATTGAAACACTTATCTTCTTTATGGGGTGGTATAGAGCAGTGGTTCTCAAACTTCCTCATGCTGCGACCCCTTCATACAATTCCTCATGTTGTGGTAACCCCCCAACCATAAAATTATTTTCGATGCTACTTCATAACTGTAATTTTGCTACTGTTATGAATCAGGTGACCCCTGTGAAAGGGTCATTTGACCCCTTCTTGACCCACAGGTTGAGAACCGCTGGTATAGAGTAAAAGATAATAACACAACTTTAACTGATTTTAGAAGTTGATGGAGGCACTGTCCAATAAACATTAGATTGCTAACTGCAAGACAGTGGTTCAAAACCACCAGCTACTCCACAGAAGAAAGAGGAGGCTGTCTGCCCCTGGAAAGATTGAGAAAGCCTTGGGACCCTCCATACATGCATAGGAGTCAGCATCAACTCCACAGCACGAGGTCTGATTCCCTTTTCCAGTCACAGGAACCCTGGTGGCGCAGCAGGTTACACGTGGTGCTGCGGAGAAGTCCAGTCACAACCAGCAGCCACTGCCCAGGAGAAAGGAAGGCCTTCTACCACCAGAAAGCTTGACAGTCTCAGACACCTGTAGGTGCATTTCTACCCTGTCCTACAGGGTCACTCAAAGTCGGAATCAACTCAATGGCTGTGAGTTTTAAGTCTTTTGGAATAACTACATAAAATATATATTAAACCAGCTTTTTTCTACTAAATTTTTACAAATATTAAAGAATAAATTTTTAAGTAGAACTTAGCTGCATGTTAAAAATTAGAAATTTATTTTTAGGTTCATTTACCTATCTTTATTATTTAATCATATAATTAAAAGATATCAAAAGTAAATGAATGATACCAGATTAGAAAGATTACTAAAGAAAATATTTAAACTGGCCCCGAAGAAGGGCTCTTCTTCCTTCAGGATTTATAAAAAGCTAGTCTGCAAATTTCCCCTGAATGACTTCTAATGAGAAAGAGATAATAATTATAATTAAAACTATAAATTACAAAAAAGCTTATTGGAACAGAATGTTCTATCATAATGGGAAAATCAGCCACTCACAATGAGGTAACAATGTAACACATAGTCATTGAATGCATATGAAGTAAAATCAGAATGATTTCCTTTTTTTTTAATCTGAGTGATCTTTTTTAAGGAACAACTTCAAAATTTTAAGCAAAATTCTCTGTGTATAAATGGATAAAGGGCACTTATAGTTTTTAAGCATCAGGGTATCCATACTGAGCATCCTATTGGCTGGGGGTGTCAAAACATACTGCAAAAATCTGAGATATATTAAAGAGTGTAGTGGTTTAAAAACAGACGCATAAGGGAAGCATTCTATCTAAATACAATTCCTTGCTGTGTTTGTGAAAGATTTCTGCTAAGCCTCTAAACAAATAGTAAGTACTGATGGAACTATAAGAAAGCCATATTTCCCTTCACATAAGGTCACTAGCTGGTCATTGTAACATTATCAGCATACTGAAGGCTCCCTAAGTAGTTTGCAAATGAAACTATATAAGAGCAACAAAAGGGGGAAAGCAGCAGCCAAAAGCAGTTACAAATTACATCACACCATTTGCAACAACATACATAGAAATATGTGTATGTGTACCCACGAGCTTTTCCACATACTCATATCTCTGCACAGACACATAGAGTAAAGGAGTGGGGTGTAGCAGACAGCCCAGTGAACATGAATGGATAAACCTATGAAAGACACATGTGGAACAAAACAAGGTGATGGGGGAAAATCACTAGTACAAATGATAAGAAATGAAGAAAAGTCTTTATTTGATACCTTTCTCGTTCTGGTGAATGCAAACTAGTATCTGGTCTCAAGCAGTTGGTACTAGCACTCCTAGCCCTGTCAAGGGAGGGCTGCAGTTCACTAGTGCCAGTGCATTGCATCCAGTGGTAGAAGAGAAAGACAGAGAAACAAAGAAAGGAAGACCATGTTAGAGAGTAAAGCATAAAGTAATGTCCCCTTGACATAACATGTAGAACCACTGTGATTCCATTCACAAGGGTGTGAGAGAGCTGACAGGATGGCATTGCAACATTTTGTTTAGGAAAAAAAACTAAACAAAGATTATGCTTGAATTGCTTTGCATAATTTAATTTTTTTAAAATAGTCTCAGGCTGAAAAATGAGGCTTAATCACACCTACTTATGAAAAAAACCGGGTACAGGAAGCACTACCAAGAAACACCTACAATTCCATTAACAAGAACAGATGCCACACCAAAACAAAATGAAGAACATCCGAGGAGGAATAATTCATCGTGCAGCTCAACTATCTTGGTTCACAGCATGAGACGAGGGACGTGGGAGACAGCAGGACTTCCACAGGTTCTTATCTAACCGATGTCTCATGGGTATAGCTCAATATTCTTGAGTGAAAGCATTCATGATGAAGGGACATGTGCTGTCTAGTCACTAATGGGGTTTTAGTACGTGCAGGCAAAACTGAGCTTCACAAACGTAAATTATTAAAAAAATGAATTCTCATAATTAAACACAACTGGTAAAGCAACCAAAGAAGACAACAAATAATTCATATAGTTGAGTAAATATGGTTTCTTTAGAGATAGTCAAGAAATAACAAGTTTTAGCATTAAAATTACCTCTAGGTATCATTAATTTAATGTTATTAGGTATACAAGAAACTTCAAAGGTAAATGCTAATGTTTTATTAGAACATAAATGTTATTTTTAGAGGCAAAGAGTTAAGGATTAGGGGCTAGTTTTTGATTGGGCCTCACTGTTACAGCTCTTCCCTGTATATATTCCAGTGAGAACCATTCCCTAACCAGGCCATCTTGGGTGGCAATGTTTTATTGTACCTAACAAGATGTCTGGAACATAGCAACACAAGCATGCAGGAAACTACTTTTATAAAGCTCTGAACGGAATGAAAGAGCTGTAGCGCTCAGATAGGGTTGTTTTTGCTTGTTGTTCTGTGTTGCTTTCCTTGAACCATCAAAATGATTACTGGAAGGCATGAACAGAATTATGAAAATATTAAATCAAAGATGTATGACTTGATAATTAAGACACTCAGATTGTAATTTAATGAACTTAATTATCATAAATGCTTCCTCACTAAATCTTAATATTATTCAATAATATTTAAATCTATTATTCAATCCTTGATTTAATTTTATGTATGCTTCTAGGGAATTAACAACTCAAAGCTAAAAGTACTCGACAGAAAGAGTTAATATACTAAGCCAAGCCTTGGTCAGCATTATCAGGGTGGGGCTGGGTACGGATGGAATAGCAGCCGAGAACGGGAAGAGCACAATGTCCAGAAGAGATTGCCAAGGACCACTTTCTTTCCACATCATCACCACTGGATCCTAACCCAACCAGAGGTTCAATGTACCATTCCAAACTGGGTAAGATGGGCATTACATGCAAACTAAAATTTGAATTTTGAACTGGCAGAAACAAAGCCTAATTTTACCTAAATTTCTTAATGATCTGTGAGACTGTCTATACCAAGGGCAAAGAACAAGTCACAGAAACGTTACACGGGGTCATTATGAGTCGGAATGGCACCGGGCGTTTTATTTGGTAAGGACATTTTAAATACCAGGCACTTCACTGGCAGACTCATGTTAAGCAAAGGCACTAGCCAAGTCATAGAAAATTCCTGCATCAGATCACCACACCGCAGCACACGTGAGGGCAGATTTTACTGGAAACAGGATTTTGTCTGCTCTAGAAAAAAAGCAGATTTTATTCTTTCACTTCAAACCTTGGTCAAGTAACTTTAGTAACAAGTTGCTATATAACTTTTCTAAGAAAATGCCTCAAAGTGATTTTTTTTCTTTAGGAATTCTTTAAGAAGGGACTGCATAGAATGGAATATGGAATGGAAACTAGCAGGGAACTCCTAGTCGGGAAGTTTAAATTAAAGCCTTGGCTTTGCTTCTTACTGGCTGTGAACATGGCTAATTTACTTCAGCACTTTATCCTGTTTATACAACTACATTACAAGAGAAAATAACTTCTCACTGGAATGTTAGAATTAATCGAGGTAACAATTATAACGTACCTGAGACCTAGTAAGGTAGCTACAGCATTTTTTTGTGTGCAATGTTATTGTCTTAGAATACATTTCATTAACAAAGGGTTTGATTGTTAAAATTTTTTTTTAAAAGATCAAGTAATATGAAACCAATTTCCTTAGTGCTTGGCTTTAATATAATACGCAATGGTGCAATGTAAATCCCCAAGAAGGGACTTTTCTATGAAAAATTCTTAATACTAATTCGACTCACAGACTCTTACAGATGGAGTATCTTATAGGACCAATTCCTCAGGATATTACTTATCAGGTTAAACTTGCTCAGCATTTTCATTCTCATTTATCAAAGAAGATAATAATATACATATGATTATTTTCAAGAAACTCAGATAAAATATGTTAAAGGCTTAACACTGTGCTTGATAATAAATGATACTTTCTTTGATTTCTAGAAAATACTGCACAAACTATCAGATACCAAATAAAGTGTTTTGGTTTTGGGCTTTGTTGGGTTTTTTTCCTTTCTTTTAAGTTATAGTCACATTAACAGGCCTATGAGAAAACTTCCTGAATTTTTAATCAAATTTTTCATATAGCCAAACTATTTGTTAGAAGGAACAACTAACAGTATGGCTGGACAGTTCAGCATTATAAAAATTGGGGTTTACTTTTATAATAGATATGATTTGATGTTATATGTTTTCCTTTGGTTGGCCAGTAGAACTAGTATTAATTACCTAAGATTTTCTTGTGGCACCCAAAGAAAACATGGCAATAATTAGCAGTAGAAAAAATCCTGTTGTAAAAATATAGAGATTCCTACGAGCCCAATCATATTAGTACCAGTGAGCAGGGCCCCAAAGCTGCAAATGGCAAACAATCCTGCATTTGTCCTGGCATCACAAGTCTTTCAGATGGAGCTCTTTCCTAACTTCTTATTAGACAATTAAAAAATGTGTATGTTTGAATAATTTCATATTTCATGAGTTTCTAATCACTAAAAATTATTACAAAAATATTTACATACTATGAATAATCTTAAGGGAGCTTTGTTTGGAATATGAAATTGAAGATAAAATAACTCTAACATTAAAGCATTAGTTCTATGCTCCTATTTAGAGGAAATTATTACATCTCTTTGTCACTTTGACTTTATGGAGGGATCACGTGATGCTGGCATTTACCTTTATGGGAAAGATTGAATTGCAGCCTTTCTGAACTGGGGGTGGAGGGGGTGGCCAGGATAAAAAATTTTATAAGTTAACAAGTCAAATACCTTCAGTACTCGTTATCAAGAAGGAAGCTGAAACTCAGCCATTAAAAATGAACTGGTAAAGATTTAATTAAAAACAAACAGAATATAAATAACAGCAGATTACAAAAGGAAACTAAAAGGCTGAAAAACAAAATAAAATCACAATCGAAATACGATTATGTTGCCATGCACAGGTAGGAGCTTTTGTGACTAGACAGGTGTGTGTGTGTGTGTGTGTGTGTGTGTGTGTGTGTGTGTGTGTGTGTGTGTTTTACGGGACAATGCAGGGGGAGGCTTCTCAGAATGTTAATTGTAGAAATTGGGCCCTTTCCAAAAGGTTCTTCAGCCGCTGGACTTTGAAGATACAAATAACAAAGTGGGCTTCTTGGAGCAGAACTGAAATGTACTTGGGCCTGTTTGTGAGACCTCAACATGGGAAAACCAAGCACATTCCAAAAGCTTGGGAGATTACTTTTACCTACTGGTAGCAATACCAGGAAGGGAGAGACGCAGGAAGAGGGAAATGGAAAGAGCCACCACACACAGTCCCCTTCACCAAATCCCTGCATTTACCTGGTCGGGTGTAGACACTCTGCACTCCGTCCTCGTTTTGCTCTGGGCAGCATGAGAAGCTCACTGCACAGACAGGATGGATGGTGGGGGAAACAGATATCAAGTATGAGGCATTAAATGACATGGGTTATGCCAATGGTATGCCGATGGAAACATAAAAAGGGAAGAAACCAGATTGTCTGCAGTAGCATATTTGCTTGAAAGGTTCAACAAAAATAAACATGACAGTAATTTTTAAAAACTTAAACAATGAAAGTACAAACAGTACAGTAGAAGTCCTAGCTGTTGCTTACTTGCTGTTGCATTTTGAAATTATTTTATAGAATTCCAAAGCATACAAACAAAAAACCCACACCAATAAACCTTTCCTAAATAAAACATAGAAATCTAACTTGACACTGGTGGATCAATTAATATAGTTCAAAAGGCCTATAAATACGCCTTTCTGATATTAATGGGAAGCCTAAATCTTTTTATTTCTCTTTAGTAGCTGAAAGCCTGGTAAGGTTTTTTTGCTTGTTTAGCCACTGAACATGCAATGGCATATTATTTTTTTTAACCAACCCACAATTTATGTGATTAGGATAATTATATTTCAAAATTAATACTTTTTCTACACTGAAGTTGAATTCACTCTCTTGAGTACTCTGACTAAAATGGCCTTGGTTTTCCTTCTTTCACAGCGGCCCCTCACTCAACTCAAGCTGAGCAACATGGAGAAGAGTCCTCTGTCCCAGTCCCCCCTGGGACTGTGAAAGGCAGGGCACCAGTTCCCACAGCGGGGCGGTAATTAAGGAGATGGGAATCTCTACTCTTTGCTACCATTACTCAACTCATTTATACTTTGATCACTTCCTTACTCATCATGTAATGCTTTTCCACTTCAACAAACTAGCAGAGAATAGTCAACAAAGGGGAGGGGGAGGGTTCACATGAAACCTAGAACAGTACACTGAGGTGGTAATCAGGCAAATTGCATGAGTATGTGGTTATTCAGAGAAGAAGGTCTGTGGGCATATAGAACAACAGAGTCACAACATAGACTTACAGCAACTGTGTCCGCAAAATACTCATTCATAAATATGTGCAGAGTTTAAATACATATCCATATTAGAAAAACCTCATCACTATATTGTATATTTTATAGACATTTCCTGTAAAAACATTTTACGGAAAAGGACAGAACAAACACATTTTTTTCAAAGTTCTCACATTAGCTCTGCACTATTAACTATCTTTCATATGACCTGAATCTGAAACTATAATGATAGCTACTTAAATAACATTCAAAACACTATGACTCACAAAAGACACTTGAAAATTGATTATATAGGTTCCCACCAACAATTTATGTCAGCATTAAAGTCAATGAAAATGTTAAATTGGTCACTTGTAATTTATATTTTGAAAAAAAAAACTACAATATAACATTACCCACGTATTTCCTAGTATTGCATTTCTACTAGAATATTTTAACAGTTGTTCCTTGAGATAAGTTCAGTTTTCAGTGATTGCATACTAGTATACTAATACACAGCAAAAGAAAATTTACAATATTGAGATCATAATTTGGACAAATACCTGTCTTGTTCTGATAAATACTGACTATCCACATCTCTGGATCTATGATCCACTGGACTTCGGGAGGCATCATGGTGTCGGGTTGGAGAACGTGATCTTCTGGTTGGATGAATTTCATCTAAACTCCTAAATGGAATAAAAATTCATACATGTCCAAGTGGATCATCTCGTCCAAAAGAGCAGAGAAAGGAAGGATAAAGAATCCACAGCTATCAAATTGCTAAACAGCTATTATTGGAAATGTGTTCGCTTCATGAACAAAAATCTTTTTCTGTTATTGAGTTAAGGGTATTTATTGTCCTGGGAGAATTTATTGCATGCTACACCTTGCTAACTTTCTTTTGCATCTTAATTGAAAAAGACCATGCTTTTTGTATGCATAGCTAATTAACAATTTATCGAAGTGCATTAAGGGGTAATGAAATACATACACCTGAGTGTATGAAATAAATACCACTGAGTTACATATTTTATTTTTTCCATGCATTTAAAATACTTTAAAAAATAAATTACACATTTTTCCCCCACTACACACTCAAAATACATTTAAGAAGCCATGGCGGGGCGGATATGTGCTGGGCGGCTAACCTTAAGGTCAGTGATTCAAAACCACCCACTGCTCCATGGGAGAAAGACATGGATTTCTACTCCCATTAAGAATCATAACCTTGGAATCCCACAGGGACAGCTTTACCCTGTCCTGTAGCATCTATACAAGTCCCAATCTGCTCGATGGCAGTGAACTGGTTCAGAAAAGGAGGCAATCTTGAAAACACGTGATTGACCAGACCCTTATTTCACTTTATTGAATCCTGTGTCAGTTTGTATCATTTTGTCTCTACTGAAACAGTCAAGAGCACTAAGCCCACACCTACCTCTGTAATGGCACATTTGGTAAACGTGAGCGTGGCCTTCCCTGATCCTCACTGCGATGCGGAGATACCGATCGTGAGCGGTGATGAGTTGTTCTCTGCTGTTCCGGCACTGTTAATGTTGTAGATTTACTTTCTCTAGCACTAGACCTATAGCCTACTGGCAAGAGGACACAAGACATAAGACAACTATTCCCATGCAATGCAAACATTAGAGTGGAGACATAAATGACATCAAAAGCAGTCACTGACCTAGTAAGATGAAAGGCCATGCAATTATTCATTTTATTGTCAGAAGTATCAAGTGTAAGTACACACAGTGCAACGCGCATGCATGAGAACAGGTTACAGCTTGAATCGAGGTACTATGGTAGCAGTGAACATGAATATGACAGAGGAGGACTCAGGTAGTAGGGTGACTTGGGATACCATTTTAATTTTAGGGAATGAACAAGTTAGTAGTTTTCAAGAACAGAAAGAAAGCACTTGACAATGAACTATAGTTAATAGACATGTCCATGCTTAGAAATTTAGTCTCTTTAAATGCTATTTGAGCTTTTCTTTCAAAAGATATTTTCACTGACTTTCAGATGATCTCATTAATAAGAAAAAAGTTAAATATCATAGCAGTATTAATTTTCAAAAAAGTAGCAAATTTGCAAGCTTAAAAATATTGGTCATAGATTTTGCAAACTGCAGATAATGTTGTAATTGCCAAAGGTATACATACAGTGGATGAGTGAAGATGACTATGGCAATAATGCATATAAATTTAACCCTGATAAAAAACCAATCATCAAATCTACCCTGGGCACCTGAAACTCTTACATAATTAAATTAATTATCAACATAATTATGTTAACACAGTTAACATAATTACATTTAGAAATACACCCAACAATCACTTTTTCCCTTGAAGTGAAAATGATTGCATCATCTCGGATTTGATTCAGGTTAAACAGCAATCTCAAAGCCATAAGAACAATTTAGAACAAATAATTTGTTTTTCCACAAAGTCATCGTTTTCTATTATGAAAAGGAAAAAAAAAATTCTGTAGTAAAAAAAAAAAAAAGTCAAAGTTTTAGCAGAAAATGTGCAGTTCAGCTACAGGAGACCACTGGGAAAGAGGCTAAGGAGCTGCTCCCGACAGGTGCACCCAGGGGCACAGTGCAGTGAGCACAGGAAGCATATGTAGGACGGACATTCGTATGCAAATCATTGTAGGCGCTTCACCTGGCATACTAGAAAAGTCATGGAAAAAACTGCATAAACCCCTAGAGGACTGCCTGGTGTTTTGATTTATTAACACATCTCTTCATTTAAACTTAACTAACTCCAGATTCTTATTTTACCATTGTATCCTTGAATATCATCAATGTGTTCCTTCAACATTTTATTTGCCACATCAATATTTTACAAGCTACCATCTATGTGGTTTGGCTCAATTGAGTATATCCGGAAATATACACAAATTGTAACGCTCCCTTTATTTATGAAGAGACTTCCAAAATAAAACAAAAATTTCTTATTGGTTATGTAATTTATTAGTTATAATTTTTGAAATGTTTACAGCATATTTTTAGAAGCTAGATGAAAATAAACAGTACTGCTAAAATGACAATTTACACACTTATTTTGCACTAAAAGAGATTGCATGTTTACAAAGACTATGAGGGATAATTTGGTATAGAATATAAATGATTTTAGAATTCAACGTTTGTTTGTTTTGGCCCGGCACCAGTTTTGTCTTCTTAAACTCACTGGCACTGGGTCAACTTTGGCTCATGGTGACACTACAGGACAGGCCGAACTTCCCCTACAGATTTCTGAGACTGTAATTCTTTACAGTAGCAGAAAGCCTCAAATCTCCCCTCCGGAGGGGATAGTGGTTTTGAACTGCTCATTTCAAGGTTCACAGTCCAACACATAGCCTACTAGGCCACCAGGAATCATTTGTCTTCTTAGAGGCTGTTATCTATGTAATCTCTCAGAGAATAGGGGGGGAAAATCACAACATTTTAGTAAACATGAATTTAATTAGTCATTTAGCCATTCATTCACTATGCGGTCTCATCATTAAAAATGTAAAACTTTGGGGGGAACCAAGGTGGGAACCCCGCACAAAGGCCTATTCTATTGACGTGACTTGGTAAAACCCTCAGTAGAAAGGAATAGTAGCCCAAACTCATTGTTGGAAAGATTTGAGGATTTTCCAAACAAGAAATATCTGATTTCTATTTGAATATACCAATGAATTGAATGTGTAGTTATTTTTATAATTTGTTTCATAAAATACTAATATGCTATTACATTTTTCATAAAATTTACTATGGGAATTTACTTAATTATAAGATTTTGAATAGTAAGTAACACCAGAAGGTAAACATGAGGTGTTACATACCATTATCAGTCATTCAAAACTCTCAGTGAAGCTATGCTATACAAATGTATTAGTTAATTATGGAGATGGATATAAACCAAATTTATATTTAAGGTTATTTGTTATTTTCATGTAGTGATTAAATATGATTAAATAACACAGTCTCTAAATTACAGGAAAGAAATAAAACCTGATTTTAGAGAACTCTCCATATTTTCTCCTCCTAGTTTCAATAAAACTATATGCACCTTGTCTTTGTAGAATCTACCAATTTTAGCTAAATTATTGCCTTCAATTAAATGCACCCCCAGCTGTGAAATTTCTTGAACCACAAGGCTATAAATCAATATTGTCCTAAAAGAGTGCCTTTAATAATTCAAATATTTAAGTTCCAGAGTTGTCTTTTTAATTTCATCTTACTTGAATATCTTACCTTTTATTAGATTATGGAAACCGTATAGGACTAGTGTCCATAAAATTAGCCCATACTACCCGAATTTACTCAAATTTTAGTGACTAAAGAATCAGATAAATAAATTTGAACTGTATAATATCACAAAATTTTTTTAACTTATACAGTAACAGAATGATGTTAACCTCAAATGAATATTGAATCTTTCTAAAGCATTTCCTTATTTTAAAACAGACGCAAATTATAGATCATACTTAGTGGCAGGTAAATACATCATGAAAGCATTAAAAGTTATAGCCATGCCACATGCAATTTAAACCCCGCCATGTACCTTTCTCAGTATATTCCATGGAAGGAAAATCAAGGAAAATGTAGAATGGAATTTTTATTTTTAAAAATTGAGTGACAGCTTTTCAAAATTCATGTTTTCACTTATGCTCAGTGCATTGCTAATTAATAATTAATTAATTTGTCAATTAATTGCTGTTTAATAGATGCTGTTTAATAGATACAGTCATGTCATGCATTGTTTAATATCCATGACACATTCTATGAAATAGAATTTGATGTTATTTGGATGTTGTTCCAGTACCATAATATATACAGGCAATCTAAGGAAGAACCTGATTAAATTAAATGTGTATGGGATGCTGTTTAATAGATACAGTCATGTCATGCATTGTTTAATATCCATGACACATTCTATGAAATAGGATTTGATGTTATTTGGATGTTGTTCCAATACCATAATATATACAGGCAGTCTCCAGATTACGAATAAATTCAATGCTTAGTCTTTTGAGTCAGATGTGTACATAAATCAGAATGATTGAGTGTGAATCATATCTTACATCAGTTAGTGAAATGCTTGCCTTCATTTACAGTAGATGGTATGTTGTTCTATGCCTGAATATTTTCAGATAATATCTTTAATATATGGAAATAATAATAACAATAATTGATACATACTGTAAAGTAATGCCAGTTTATTATTATGAACCATTGCATACACCTTGGATCTTTAAGATAACAGACTTCCGAGGAGATGGGACCACACATGTCAGTGTGGTTGTGTGCTGCCTAAATGGACATTGTGCAGCACATGACTGTATTTGTCCTTTTCAAACTAAAAACACTGGCATTCAAGGCACCATGGAATAATTAATACTGAGTTCGCTGTACTATAACTCTCCAGTTCAGTATCTTGGAGAATTCTAGAACTGAACAGTGAACACAAGCAGGGAAGCACAGTGCAGCCGGCCATGCCCTGCACCCACGCACCTGGAGGAACGGCTCCAATCCCATCGTCAACCTCATAATCTGAGACGTCGCTGTCACTGATCCGCTGAGATCCTGTCAACAGTGAGGCAAACAGATCGCTCTGTCTTGGTGTTTGTGACATGTGAAGGACAGGTGATTTTTTCCTTTCTTACAAAAGCCATTACATTAGTACACAATTCTCTGAACAACAATAAGACAAAGTAAATACTGAACTGGTATCTTAAAAATGTCATTTTCTCAATATTTCTCTTCAAAGCCATTAGAAACATATAGAAACAAGGGGACCTTGTAAATTGATTGAAGTAATTTGTTAATTAAAATATAGTAATAAAAGAGTATAGCTAAGTGTATGCGCCCACTTCTCATTTATCGACATGGTAGGTTCGAAAGACTGGGTCATCACATAAAAATGGGTGTCATGCAAACACAGAGGATGCCTACATCAGATCGCAAAATGAAGAATGAATGACTCTATCAATACATAAATGCCAAATGCCACATAACTGTCAAATTACATCATTACATAACTGCCAAACCACTGAGAATCACGGCTCAGCCAACTGAACACATAACCTTAACCATCAAATTGAGTTACTCTCCCCTTACCCTTCACCATTGGTTACTGCCAGACACACGTTATTCATGTGCAAAGTGGTTGGTTAGCAGATTTTTTTATCATTGTCATCAACGTAAAATGTTGGATGAGGTAAGTGAGTAGGAGGTATATACCATTTTCTACTCAATTCAATGCCCTGTTACATTCAGGGAGGATGGGGCTGAGCAAAAGGCCCAAAGAGGCTTTCCTGGCTACAGTTCAAATGAGTTCACATTAAAAATGTATGCTTTTATAAGATATTTGTTTCATTTTCAGAAAGTTATTACACTGCATTAAGACATTAATTTTGAGAAATGATTGGGCAGGGAAACACTAATATGAACAAAATTACAGGAGAAAGACTATTTGCTTCCAGATTACAAAACACGTTCTCTGTTTTAGTTGTTTGTTAGAGGTTTACTCAAAATTCAAAGATTATTATGTATATAGATATATAAAGAAAAATATATGATTTTCTCAATCATTTTCCCAATTAATGAACAGCAACAAACATATTTTACAAAGATTTAAAAGTGTTTAACACCAATGGAAATACTAAAAATATCTAAGTATAATAAAGCTATTAAGTCTTTATTTTAGAAACCTTCTGTAATTATTGAAATTACTGCATTCAAAGCCCATCAACAACTCCATCAATCTTGTGCAAACTGTATCATGAGCAGTTTCCAACTTCCAACTCTAAAACTATGTATATTATAGTACACTCGCACTGGGAAAATGTGTAACATAATTTGCCATGTCTTTTTACATGGATCTAATTTTTTCTAATATTCTTATCTCTTCTAAACCCTTTGAAAACCTGTCTTGAAAATTAATCTCCACTTGACGCACTCGAACTTACTTTGTAGCTTTTTACTGGAGCTTTCTCCATGAACATGTCGCCTTGGCATGAAAGGTGAGGGCTGAGGCAGAGGTAGCGAGGATTCATCATGTGTCTGAAGTTTATACCAGTGTGGTTCATCATCTAAAAGTGCCGTCTCCAATTCTATGAGGATCTGAAAGAGATTTCATTTATCAAATGAAATCACATTATACCAACATAATGTTAAGAAGCCATAATTAATAAGTGTTAAAAAAAAGACCCCATGAAATATTTGCCTTGAATCATTATAATATACATCACCTCTCCAAGAAATTCACTCTCTTCTTCTTGAACTCTTGGTTGATCCCACACAGTTATTTCTAACATTCGTTCTCTAAAGTCTCTACGATGTACGTGTGAGTACACGAAAGTTTGATTCCATCTCGGCTCTAGTGCTTTCTTTACTGTTTTCGTTCTCCTTTTACTCTTATCACTGAAAAACACGTGTTGTTGTGTAAAAGCAAAAGCAAGTATATGCTGCCATCTATTGTAATCGCAGGTAATTGGGAATCTCAAAAATTTTTAATTTGTGACTTTAAAAACACAAGAGGCTATACATTTTAAAACAATCCTAATTCAAACAACAATGTAAGTGATAGCAATGAAGACAGGCATGCACACAGGGTACATTCTAAATAATGTATAGCTATCAAAGATTATTATATGTATAAATAAGGTATCAAATGTAAATGATTTGGCAGGCTCTTTTCCAACACACAGCTTGAGGGATTTCTTTTTGCAGGAATATAGTTTATTCTCTCAAAAATTAATTATTTTATTCTAAAAATGTGAGACCAAGAGAAGATGGTCTGACTGCCCTATCAGTATATATATTAGCACACTATTTCCTAAAACCATCCATTACCTTCTATCTGGAAGAAAATACATTTTTACATAGGGATTCCTGGGGCGCCCATCTACTCTAGAGGGTAGATCTGTTGCTTGAAGAACATTTACAATCAGCTGGTGTCCCACTTTATCATACCATAGCTTCACCTGTGAGCAATGCAAAAATGCAAAAATAAACTATTCATAAAAATTAAATTAAATTAAAATTTCACACAATGTATAACTTTAGTATTTTTTAAAAATGAACTTTAAATACAGTGTAATTCAATCATGGATTTTTTTTTTTAAGAACACCTATTTGGAAGCATAGCATTTTAATCATGATTTATAACTGGTAGGTTTATTGTGCCCATTTTTATTTTTTAATATCATACCGTGCTGAAAAAATAAAACTGCAAAACAAAATTTAAACCCTAAGTGATGAGGGGGGAGAAGGGACATCTGTGTCCTTTTTTATTTTTAAATGTATTTTTGAAGTGACTTAATGATCATACCCTGGCTGAATTAGTTGCCAACAAGTGGGTTCCGCAAAGGTACTAGGTACAGCAGAAGGCCATGTTGCCCAGGCCTCTGCCAGCTTCCTGCTCCTTGATGTTTTCAAGCCCAGTGATATGTGAGGAGGCGTGGTGGTGTGGTTGGTTAGGAAGTGGGCTGTTTACCACAGGGTTTGTGGTTCTTAGCCAATAGCTCCTCTTTGGACGAAAGATGAAGCTGTCTTCTCTTGTAACGAGAACTGCTCAGGAGCAGTTCTGCCCTGTCCTACTGGGTGCCTCTGGTCAGATCGAGTCTATGGCAGTGGATGGTGGAACATGAGTGCAATAAAGTGTCACCAAATCTCCCCCAAAATCAACAAGAGTAATTTGAATTTCAATTTCTCAGGTTCCAGGCTAATCATATTACAAAGGCAATAGAATCAAACTTTCTAAGATTATTAAACCTAACTACTTACCTTAGCAACTTTGATCTTTTCAAAAAGCCTCACGGCCATCGAGTTGATTTTGAGTCATAGCAACATTACGTAGAGTTTCTGAGGCTATAAATCTTGATGAGAGCACACAGCTAATCTCTCACATTGGAAGAGCTAGTGAGTTTGAACCTCTGACCTTGTGGTTAGTAAAATCACTGTCCAATAGGACAGCCTATGGGTTCAGAGACTGCAATCCTTGATGGGGAAGAAAGCCTTGTCTTTCTCTTGTGAAGTAGTTGGGGGTTGCAATCTGTCAACCTTGCTCTTCATAGCCCAATAAGTAACCACGAGGCTCCAAGGCTCCTATGCTTACCCAAAGTATAGGTATTTTATTTTTTTATGCTTTTATCATTTATGTTCATGTTCAGAACGGGCACATTTAGCCCTTCAATAAATATTTCTTAATAAGCATATGAATTAAAAATGAAGAAATGCAAAATGAATTGATGAAGTATATTTTGGTATCGAAACACTATATATTTATCAGAGGCATATAAGAGGGCCAGATGTTTCAAAAGAAAAACTCAGGATAATGAGTAAGACTAATGGTCTCCACATGTACAGAAAAATACATACAGAGAGTTGCCCGGGTAGGACTTGTGGGGCATCTTTTAGAGCTCCGGGACTCGTTGGAGAAATAACAGAAATGGAAGGCCTGTCCATCTTCTGAGATTCAAAGGAACTCGAACCTAGAATGAGAAACAGAATGAAGGAATTTTAGCAAGATATATGTAATGTAGGAAATACATCATTTTAAATAATACACTAAATATACATAGCATTTGTATAAAATCATCATAAAGTACCACAGACAATAGACAAACATTTTGAGTAGAAGAGATCTAGAAGGTTATCATTTTGTCTCGAATGGTTGTCATAATGACATGTTGAATCTATCTTTTCAATTTGTAAGTACTTACTTTTTATGTTTTTGGAGGACACTGTAGTATATAGACTCTCCTATGACCTCAGATACAGCTACAGGGTTCCTGTTCATAGTGGTAAATAAAGCAGTACCTGTCATGTTAATCATCATGCCTCAGGGACCATCAATTGTGAACTGTCCTCACAGGGAACTGACAATAATGTGTTGACATATGCAGAGTATCATCTAAGAGCCAGACCTAAGGCTCCATGTCATAGTTTTAAAACAGTTTTACCGGGTATCTCAATTGTGATCCAGTGAGTATGCTATCTCCAGTAATTCACAGTGACGTTACCTTGATATAAGAGCCCTGACAGTGCCATGGGCTACATGTTGAGCTGCTAACCACAAAGTCAGCGGTTTGAACCCATTAACCGCTCCATGGGAGAAAGATGAGGCTTTCTGCTCCTGTGTAATTAAAAGACTCAGAAACCCACCCAGTCCCATAAAGTCATTATGAGCCAGAATCTGAGAGTTTGTTTTTTATTACCTTTACGTGAAGAAAGTCAGTTCTACACTCAGCCACTTAGTGAAGCTCTTGCCTTCTTGCAACCTAACATGATCTGCAGTAAACAGTGCTTGCAGGAGCCCTGGTGGTTCAGTGGTTTAAAGCTTGGCCACTAATCAAAATGTCAGCATTCACACCCACCTGCCATTCCCCAGGAGAGGCGGCAGCCTGTTTCCATAAAGATCACTGGCTAGGAAACACTATTTGGCAGTTCTACTTTGCCTTATATAATCCCTAAGAGTCAGAATTGTACTTCAAGGCAAGGAGATTTGTTTTGTTCTCACAATGTCTATAGAATATAATAGGAGCCCTCGTGGCATAGTAGTTACAAGCTGGGCTGCTAACTGAAAGGTCAGCAGTTCAAAACCACCAGCCACTGCTCGGGAGGAAGATGAGATTTTCTGCTCTTGTGTAGATGTATAGCCTTGGAAACCCACAGGGGCTGTTCTACTCCATCCCACAAGGTTGCTATGATTCAGAATAAACTTAATTAAAGTGTTTTTTCCTTTGTTTTGTTGTTTTCATAAAATGTAATGCGAACTATAATCCTGAACTCATAGCTATTGATAAATAGGGTCTTCCTTAAGAAACATTGAATGACAATGTGCCATGTATTTTCCCTATATTCTAAAACTAAAGTTTAAATTAGTCAAGTGGCCTAATTCTATATGACCAAAATAAATCTTTTAATTAAAAGGAACAGTACAATTAAACTGCTAAATTATACCTATTTTAAGAAAAATTCCTGCCACCCCTTTCTGTCAATACAAGAACATTGTATTGCATTGTATTTAATACAAGAACATTGGTGTTTCTAACAATCAATTTGTTTTTAATATTGTAGAAGATCAGTTTAGTTTTAATTGTATAAATATTATAAATCGTGGAGTTGGTCTTATTTCTCACTGTACTGATTATCAAAATGCTCAAAGCCTCATCTGGGCAAATCTCTAGTAGCTATGCAGGATATGATGGCCTGCCATGGAAAATACTGACCTAATCTCTGGTCCTTTCTTTGTTTATCCTACATATTCAGCTTCTTCCTCCTTCTTACCACATTATTTGTTTTCCCTTTAAATCACATTGCAGTTGATACTTTTATAAACTGGGTAAAAACCTTCTGGAGATTAAACCCAAGTAGTAATTGTATAATTTAATGTCAATTCATTTCAAAGTAAATTTATTTAATTCACGTCCAACCTCAAATTAAGCGTGTCTATACTTTATCGTATACCTTCTCCCAGCTGAAGGAATTTTCATGCTCATGGCAGGAAATTCTTGAAATCCTCTTCCTTACAGTCTCTTGGCCTCATTTCTTCCAATGCAGGGTAACCCTGCACCACTTCAACCACTCCCACGATCATAGCCATGGTTGACCAGGGTGTGTTAAAGTGCCTACCTTTATCATGAGCTCGTTTATGCAACTGAGCTAATTATCAATCAACCACACCACAGTTTTGGTGCATAACCAGTATTTGGTATATTTTTTGAGTTCATAAGAAGCCCTGGTGGTGAAGTACTGAAGAGCTTGGCCGCTAACCAAAAGGTGGCTGGCTCAAAGATTTGGAAGACAACATCTATCAAGATTACAGCACTGGAGACTTTCTACTCTGTCCTGTGAGGTCGCTGTAACTCAGAATCAAGTGGAAAGCGGTGTGTTAATGGGTGAAAGCCTGCAAGTAAATATTTTATTTTTTTAGTAAATATTTTCATACATAGTAGCCCCTCCATATCCTCGGCTTCCTCATGGTTGGGTTTTGTATCTGTGGGACAAGCCAATTGAACAGGGAAAATACGAGAGTTGGGGGAGAGTGGTTACATGGACAAAGCCATCTCTCCATGACTAAGAAGGAACATAAAGTGCTTTTTGCATAACACAGTGTATGAGGTATTATAAATAATACAGAGAGGACTTAAAGAATATAAGAGGATATGTGTACCTTAGATGCAAATACTATGACATTTTACCTAAGGGATGTGAGCACCTGTGGATTGGGTATCCAAAGAAGAAAGGGGGTCCTGGAACCAACCCCCCAAGGATACTGAGTGATGACTGTAGACACCAAGAAAAAGAGTAGGAAAAAAACTGCATAAAACAACCTCCTTTGGCTTCCAAATTGCCTTTGGGAAGTCAGTGGAAATAGTCACCAACTGACTTATTTAGTGATATCAGCTGACAGACAACAAATAACCAAGAAAGGGCAAATCTTCAGTTTACTTCAATATATTTTATAATAACGAAACAATCGTATACTCACTGGACTCTAATGGAGGATGGGAGCTCTCAGGAATCCTTGGAATGTCACTGCAACAAAACAGGGCATGGTAAAAATCCCATTAGCTAGAAGACACTGTCCCAGCAGACCACAGGCACATTTGGGGTCGGCAGTGTAAACAATCCCCTTGGATCTTTACAGATGTGGAAATGGACGGGCATTACTACTAAGATAACCCCTAATGTGCATGAATGTTAAATATCACACATACAAAAAAAACTGCAGTAGGAATAACTTTTCATATATTTAATAGCAAAACACTTTAATGTGACAACAATACGATTAATATTGTGGCTAAAATTGCCACAATATTTTTAGTACCAAAACTGTATGTTTTGGAAATAAAATATGTTAAAGGCAATATTTTACTTCGTCTACAAAATCAAAATGGCACAAACTTTACAAATCAGCAATATGCTTTACAAACACATCTGAAAGAGTTTACTGAATGAAGGAATGGAGACATGTCTGAGTAATGAAACGATATGGTGAGTATCATGGGCAAAGTTAATAAAACTAAAAGGATGGACTGCTTTGAAATTAAAAATGGCTGAAGCTTGCAACGAAAGAAAAGCCAAAATGTTTTATAGATGTGAATATATGCGCACATATATACCCTGTCTAGAGAGCTGTGTCTCCGTAGTGAAGTTGGCTCAATAGGTGATCGCTTAGCGTGTGATTAGAAAGTGACTGGTGAGGACGATCATCCCTGGAACACTCACAAAGCCCTAGGACCAAGACTATCACCTCAGCTCAGTCCACGAAGGACGCTGCAGTGTGCTCTGGTTATCTACTGCTTAGAAGTGCTACAGCTCTGCTCGTCCAACTGTAGTCTAGATGAATAAGACTAGCAATATTAACAGTATGAAATGACCCATTAAAGCAGACTGAAGTTAGCTAATTCCAATAACATTATTACCTAACAATTTAAGGATTTCTAACCACTTACCTTGTAACTTAATTTCACATTGATTTTCCTTTCACTTTTGGGGGCAATGAAAACAACAGCCATTTATTTCTGATTGTTTTCTTACCTTCTCATTTTCAGATTTGTGCTCAAGGCAATTCTCATAGTCATCTCTACTTTATACTTATTAAAAATCAAAATACATGCTGTGATGTGTACTTAAGGAAACACATTTAATTATACAATTTTACACTAAAATTTTGCAAGGTAATTAAGAGGCTAATTAGTGATACCTAAATTGGTGGAGTAGTAGGTTAAGTACTGGGCTGCTAACTGAAAGGTCAGTAGTTTGAAACCACAGCAGCTCCATCGGGAGAAAGGTGGAGGCTTTGTATTCCCACAGAGAATTACAGTCTCTAAAACCCAAAGGAGCGGTTCTACTCAGTCCGATGGAGGTGCTGGAGTCAGATTTGATAAGATGGCAGTGAGTTTTTTGTTTGTTTTGTTTTTAAGCCATGAATGGAATTTCTCGATGGCAAATAACAACAAAGCCTCTTCTAACTTAATCTAGGCTAATAAAAATTTGGAAGAACTATCTTTTAGATAGTAATAAATTCTTTGGAATTAAGCCTCAAAGTTAATTACAGAATTTAGGATGTGGAATTCTGAAATCAGCTCTACGCATTAGCATTCAGGTGCCTGTAAAAGAAAAACTGCAAAAAAATTCTTTAAAATGTTTAAAAATGATTTTGAAAAAAATATCATTACTAAATTACTATTATTATTAATTAGTAATTATAAATTGCTAATATTTTCAAGAATATATTTCCACTTGATGTTTATGCAAGCCTTACAAACTGGTAAGCCACAGGGGAGGTGGCAGGACCATTTCAATGACAAGGAGGAGCATAAAGGTCGAGGGGCGCCTATTTGACAGCTTGGCAGAGGATGAATACCCCAGATGTCTGCTGCTGCTGAGACTGTGCTGATCCACATACAATACACTTGAGATTACATCACTGTAGCTCTAGAACTCACGCTACTCCGAATTCACGTTAGCCTTCTGCTTTCAATGAACTGCATGTGCAGAACAGAAGTACACTGAACATATTATTAAAACCCAGCTGTATTATTCTAAAATTTTTCAACTATCAGGAAAATTGGTGCCAGATCTGATTTTTCTAGTTTCAAGTAATCTTTGTATTTTATATACCTTCAGTTCCACAATCATGATAATTAAAGTTTGGCTATGCACATTATCAATATTCAAAATGATTTCATATGAAGTGAAACCTAAGAAAATGTCATTCCAGTCTGCTTTAATTGTCCATGAAGATTTAGGTCACAAATATCAATTATATTTAATTTGAATCCTTTTAAATCCACTATGTGTCTGAACGTATTTGGGCAATGTGCACACACTTGATTTTAAATTTTAATTTTTACACTTTGATTCTAATTTACTTACCTCCTTTCCAGCCTCATATTTACCTGAGCACTAAAACATATGTCATATAAAACTAGCATAAATTACTTAATGGTGTTGTTTTAAAAATCTACATGGAAATGAATAATATTTTTGAGAATATCTTCAAATTTTACTCTTAGTAAGCACCACTTAGGAATTGGTTGTAAGCTAGCTTTTATTTTAGAATTTTAATAAGTATATATTACTATTATTCTTTGGAATATATGATCAGATATTTCCAGATTCTTGAGAATTAGGATTTATAATTTTATTTTCTTGTATGTTTTGCATTGACATATTCATGAGAACAATACAAAAATTTTAAGGTCAGCATTTTTCAACATAAAATACCTGAATTAAGAGTTCTACAATATTTAGGAGATAAGAAAAAAATTATTTCCAAGAATACATCCAAGCACTAAAATATAATAAAACAGTTCAAAATGCCTTCCAAAATTTACAGGTTGGCAAAATGAATATTTACTTCAGATTAGTTGGGTTTGCTAGGAAAAGCTAACAATATAGAGAACTCTATAAATAAATATTTTAAAAATCCCATTTTCTATAGATAAGTAAACTATGCTTAAAATGTAGGTTTCTAACATACGCTCAAATATTAGGTCCAATTAAAATGCTAAAAATGTTTCACATGTCTTGGCTGGTTTTTAATTGGAAATTAAAATTGGAACTACCTTTGGGTTAAAAATATATTAAAAATATTCAGTTCTTAGTAGAATAATATAAAGTTGATGTAAACATGTACAATTATTACTACTTTATAAACCACAATAAGGTGAATTTGCCATTAATTCCTTTTAAGGAAATACTGCTCACTAAATAAGAATTAATAAAAATAGTTCTCCATTAAAAGAATATATTCTTATGTTATATTTTACTCACAAAAATATGTATTAATACCTTTTGATATTACAACCATCAAATTGTGGAGCATCTAAAATGCAGTGAAGAAGATCCCAGTATTCAAAAGTAAAAAATTAAGATTTCAAAAACTAAAATGTTTGCCCATAATTGAAGAAAAACTATCCATGTATAATTTCTTTTTAAAACCCTGCTAATACATGTCATTTACTAAACTTAAGAAGTAAGTTTTTTTAGCCTTACCCAATAGGCCTTGAAACAATAATTTCAACTTGAGGCTCTGATTTTGATTCTAAAATAATGTTGTAAACTTCTTCATTTGTAGCTCCCGGCAGGGGTTTACCATTCCATTCTAGAACTTCATCCCCTTGAATTTAAAAAAAAGGGTATTTTTTTACCTTATATATTATTTTTTCTTTTTTTTTCTCTTTTTTAACAAAGAAATGCAAAACATATACAAATAGTTTAATTGCTCCTAGGCTTTGCTTTCAAAAGCAAATTGGTTGCCATCTAATGTCAGCTAAATCGCTCTTATAAATACTTTTTGCTTTTCTTTTTATTTTCTATTTTCCCCCAGAATATTACTGGACACTGAAAACAATACAATAGAAAACTACCTTTATCTTTTGAGATATACCAGAAAAAATATAAGGGGATTTCACGCTATGGGATGGGATTAGCACAGCCTATTTGTAAACATTAAGAAATAATAATTAGCAGCATGCTCTCTGTACAGTAAATGTAGGCGGCTCTGTATGTGAAAGATTCTTATTAAACTCTTTGCATTAGTCCTGTTTTATTTTTGGCAGAGACAGAAGTTAACATGTTAGCATGAATCATCCAGTTATAAGTTATGCTTCATTGCCTTTGCCAGATGCACAACAGAATAAAAATGCATGAGAGGATTTGAATTCACACCTAGAGGGGAACGCAGGTAGCTAATGGCAAGATTACAAAGCAAGCAGATGTAAAACTGTTGCATGACAGTTAACCCACTTCCAGATGTTCAAAACACACGTTTTTTACACAGTATGTGTTTGTGAGTATAAGGTACAAGTAGAATCTACTTACAAAAATAATAAAAATTAATATAGTCCTCATTAATTGGTTAAATATTCTGAGTTCGAACAAAGATAGCAATAGGATCAAGTGTCAACAGAATTGGGCTAATCACATCTTGTTACTAGATATTTCATCATTAGATCATTAGGGAAAAATACTTTTGATTTATAAATTTTTTATCTGTAAATATGTTGACTCCTGGTAGGTCAAATATACAAAGGTAAGTTCCAGACTCAGTGGCAGCTTGATGTGTCTTAATTTATTTTATACTCCTTCTTATGTTGTGTCTCACAGAGTCTAGAACATTTCAGTATCTAAGGATCTAAGTGTTTCACTAAATAGAGCAACATCGCCCTTATACATTTTAAAGCTGGAATATAAACATAAATCTTTAGATCTTAACTTGATCTTTTCAAAATGAAAGGTTGTTCTTTATAAACAGAAACAAAAACACTACGGTTATTTTAAAGTGAGTCTCCCTTAGTTGTACTGATGATTTATGCAAACATCAAAGAGTAAGCATTTGAAAAGCACATAATGCTAATTTGGTTTGCTAAAGGAGTTTTATTACTGAATTATTTCTAATAGGCCTGAGCAATTACCTAAAAGAGTTTTTTAAAATCAGTACATTTCAATAAAAAACAAAACAAAAAAGACAAAAGTACAAATAATTACAAATATAACATATACTAGGAATATTTTCTGTTTATTTTGCAAAAAATGATTATAGTATTATTCAGTACATGCAGATATCTATGTGTACATATATTTAAACACTATAAAATGTTTTAAAGAACAATACTTACACTGGTTATTTCTGTTCTGACACTGGTAGTTTTTAATTCTATTTTGTCCTATAGCTTTTGTGTGTATCATTGCTGGATGGAAACCATTAAATTGATTTTATTACCCAGCGACAAAGTTGTTAATGGCATTTTGCCAAGCTACTTCATAATGAAATTATTCCTTTTAAAGATATCAACCGGGAGGCAAAGCTTGTTAATATCATAGTAACTTAATGCCTTAATTATTCATGTGTAGGTCTAAGCCTCCTAAGTCAAGACTTATGCCTAGGAGTTTCATCTAAAAATCAGAAGGGCTGTTGATGGCAGGGCAGTAGCCATCACTACTCCGGGTGGAAATTTCAGAAAACAACTTTAGAATTAAGGGAACATTAGATGAACTTTGAAGGATGGACAGACATTTTCAAGAAAGGGGAAGGTAGTGGAAGTAGCTGGGGAGTTAAGAAAAGACAAAGCCTATTGAACTCTGACTTCAATAAATAGCTGACAAGTGGTCCGAATGAGTAGTGTCAGCATCAATTTTGTGTTTTAAATGATTGAACTGAATAGCACAGTGTATGGCCCTGTGGGGGTTATGACCAGACAAAGCTTAAGCGATATTAAACTAAGATCATAAGTTTTGAATAAAGGTCGCACTGCTTTAAAAAAAAGGTGTAGTTTTACAAGCCACTGAGGACACTATCAAAACAGAAGGAAAACATAGTTCCAAAGTCATAAGAAAAACAAGAAGAATATGTTATAAAAATTACAAAAGTGCTTTTCTTTTTTCTCAAATATATCACTTGCTTACAGTGAAAAGTACACGTATCTGTTGGGTAGCTATTTATGCCATGTGTTTAACATTTCAGATTGATGCTTTTCAGGCCTCGGGCTCATAAGGTTGTTAAACAATGAACTGATTCACTAAGGAACATTTCTGAATATGAAAATACCTCGGTTGACTTAAGCAATCTTTGTATTAATACACAGAGACGAAAAATCAAAAGCCATCATATACACAATCTGATGTGCAAATTCGTGTCGTCCAAATGATCATACACTCTGCATAGTCAGCAGAAGTGATTCCATGTGAGGCTTATACTGAGGTCACTGAACAAGCAAAGACTCGGGACACTGAGAGAAGCACTGTGGTGAAGTATGCATTCATTTCTGGCTGAATCAAAATCAGTCCCTAATTCGCAATCAAGTCCATGGGAGCATCAGTCACAAATCAAACGGCAGCCTATAGCCTTGGAAAAGTCTGTGGCAAAACATTTTCTTAAAATGTTAAAGAGCAAAGAGGTCATTTTAAGGTCCAGCTGACCCAAGCCATGGTCCTCAATGCCTCGTATGCAGATGAAAGCTAGACAAGGATTATGGAGAACCACTGAAGACTTACAGAGCCTGGAATTGGAGTGCGACGCCAGGCCAATGGGTTCAGTTTTGGTCTTTGGGGAGTGAGTGGTTACATACGGGTTCTGCTTTTTTAGCTGTTGCCCTTCAGGTACCACAGTGCTCCAGGGGAAAGGGAGGCTTTTTATGCTCCCATAAAGCCTTGGGAACCCCAGAGAGGGTCACTGGGAGTCCAAATGAATTTACAACAGAAATGATGTATTTGAATTATGGTGTTGCTGAAGACCATGTAAAATACCACGGTCTGCCAGAAGGGACAAACATGCCTTCTCAGTGGTCAAAATGCCCCTCAGAAGTAAGGTGATGCGACATGTCTCACTTACGAAGGGCATGTTCTTAGGCAGTAACAGCCCCCGGGGGAGATCATGCTTGACAGAGCAGAAGGTCAGTGCGAAGGAGCGAACCCTTCAACGAGTAGCTGCCACATGGGCTACAACGGAGGGAGGATGGGGAGGATGGTGCAGGCTCTGCCGTGTTGTGTTGTGTTGCACACGGGGTCATTAAGAGTCAGAAACAACTCCGTGGCGCCTACCAACCACATGGTAGTACACCACCATAGCTCTTCACAACGACTGACTATGGAAGAATGAGCTCTGACTTGAATTTTCTGCTTAAACAAAATGTAGAAAGCCAGTCTATGAGGAAAAAATCTAAACGGATTTAAACCGGATACAATGTAAACAATCACATCAAAACTGTGTTATAATATATTCCTTGAAAAGGTCTCAAGATTTATATTCTTAGGTATAAAAATTTAAAAGACAGCCTACCACGTTCTCTCTTTGCTCCAAGTTAAACTTAGCTGTCACATCTGTAAGCAGACACACTCATCTAAAAGCTTCTGCTAAACGCTAAAGTCACAAATATCAAGCAAAATCAGTATGTTTATATGATTTTTTTTAACTGTAAGGAATAGTAAACAAATTATCAAGATAGATTCATAAATAGTTAATGCTATATTTATGCTATATTTGAATATAGTGAATCACTTTAATGTCTTATACTAAGGCTAAAAAAGCAATATAAGTAACATTTCCACATGCAAAGACACATCTAAATAAGTATAATGTATGCTGTAAGCGGAAATGAAGCTGTCCGCTTCCATAAATATGTACAGCCTCAGAAACCCTCTAAAGCAGCGGTTCTCAGCATTCCTAGTGCCGTGACCCTTTAATACAGTTCCTCATGTTGTGGTGACTCCCCCAACCATACATTTATTTTCCTTGCTACTTCATAACTGTAATTTGGCTACTGTTATGAATCAGGCGAAAAGGAACATTCAGTCCCCAAAGGGGTCGCGACCCACAGGTTGAGAACTGCTGCTCTAAAGGGTCACCATGAATCAGAATAGATTCAATGGCGGGGTTGTTTTTTGGAGGGGTGTGTTGTATGCTATATAGAAATTAAAATATGCTATCACATGACATGTGTAAGAAATAGAAGTATGCTTGTTCTTTATTTAAAAAAAAAGAAATTTCTCCTGACAAAGTGTTTGGGGCCGCTCTGAAAATCCACCAAAGAGCCATGGTGGTACAGAAGTTAAAGTGTTTGAGCGCCAAGTCAATGGTTCAAACCCACCAGCAATTCTACTGGAGAAAAATGTGGCAGGATCATTCTGTATAGATGTACAGTCTTGGAAACCCAGTGGAGCAAGACTACTTTGTCTTTCAGGGCCTTTACAACTCCAGACCTGCTTTATAGCAGTGGATGAGTTTATAAAAAATTACTAATTACTGCAGATTCAACATAGTGTTAAAACCTTAAATACTGATACTGATTCCTTTTTTCTCTCTCTCACAAAGCTTAAATGTAAAGATTTTGAAGAAGTTCTGTAACAATTTTATGAAGGCACCCACAATGAGAAATCCATCAGTACTCTACTCCTATATATTTTATATAAGTAAAAGTCCTGTCCTTATTTTCCTCAAATTGTCACGTATCCACAGTGCTAATATATTAAGAGAAAACTAAGTTTCCAAATGGAAAAATATGTTATCCATACATTAAAATAGGTTATCCTTTTACTTTTTGTATAGACAACTCACCCAAAACTGAGAACCAAGTCGTGCATAGACAACTTACTGTTGAGGTGGGAAGATGGAAACTTTACCTGCTCGCAGGTGTCCAACTACATCTGCGAGGCTGCCCTTCTTTACTTTGGTGATGAAGGCTCCAAGGCGTCCTAAGTCTGTCATTTTTCCTCCAACAACCTGGATAAGTATAATTATAAAGGCTCATATTGAACCAGAAGTTTGCTACTCTGAGGGATTAATCCCATAGATCTTTAGAAGCATTTACAATTCAGTGTAGAGACATTAATGGAGCAAAATAGGTTTTGGATTCAAAGAACTGGAAGTATAGTTTGGGGAAGAAAACACCAAAACTCATGACACTTGAGATGGTGATGTGCCCTCAGGAAGTTTATATGCTAGTGTCTTTTATTAATCCGCAACATACAGACCCCATGGATAATGGACACAGGCAGTTCCAGATCACCAGGAGATTGGTTCCGAACCGTGCCAAAATCTCTAAGATTTTGTCAGGACGTTCAGCAGCCTCTGCCTAGTTCAGTCTGGCCAAGAAAGTATCACTGAACAGATAGGAATTTCCAAAGATAAGATGAGCTGGCAATGCATGTCCAAACTTGGCTAGAAATGAATCTCTCCCTTAGAGATCAAAGGTGGCGTACGTGTTGCACAGCAAGAAAATCTCTTGTGTTTGAATTTGGAGTCCAGTGAGGAGCAGAACTGAACTGCTCAAACTGGTGGTGCCCGCTCAGTCAGAGTGGCTGGCTGCACCGCATCATCCTCTTACAGTCCTACCAACAAGCCAGCCTCACACATCCCGCTGCTGTTGCAGGGCCTGGGATTTATCCTGTTCTGAGTACCGTGCTGACTCAGCCAAATAAGAAACCTTCCTCTTTCACTTTGTTGGTGACGACAGAACTAGGTTAAATGACAAATAGACATCTTCCTTTGGTAGATCTTTGCATTATGGGACTGTCCATTCGCTTGGAAGGTAGGTGCCATGTCTTTGTAGTGATAGGTACATGTAAGACTCGATGGGCCAGGAATTCATGCCAAGAACAAGACAATTTGAGGAACCCATCTACCATGATATAAAGAGCAATAATATACGTACATCTGTTTCTCTGTGCTATGAGGCAGTTGAGTAATCTACTTAATGATACACACACATATCCGCTCCTATCTGACACGTAGTAAAGTCTGATTACATTACTGAGCAGCACATTCACCTGTATTTCCTACCACACCTAGAATTGAATACATCTGAAATACTTGCAAGTTTTTAATGTATTCCAATGCAGGAATGCAAATATATACAATTAAAAGTGGGGAGAGTATTATCCAAGACTGAAGCTGATTCACAAGATTTAGGACATGTCCATTAGTGTAGTAATCAAAATTTACCCTAAGATTTGATTTACACTGTAAATCAAAATTTACAGCGAGAGAGATTAATGGCAATAATCAATAAGATAACACTATGAAGTGCACTGAGCTTTTTTGTGCCTTTTGTTTTTGTTGTTGGATTGAAGGTCAATGGTTTTGAAGAGGTCTAACCTCACTGTTGTAGCATAATCTTTTGGTACACTATACACACACACACACACACACACACTTTATATACATATCATACACACAGAATAATTTTAAAGCAGCATCTCGGAACACATCTTTAGGTCTCCATATGTAAATCAATCATCTATAACAACCCTTGGTGACCTGGTAGTTAAGCATTAAGCTGATAACTAAAAAGCCAACAGTTTCAGCTCTACTTGCCACAGCCTTAGGCTTCTTTACATGGAAAGTGTAGGGGTCAGTTCAACTCTGACTTACAGTCACTGTGAGTTGCCATTAACTCCCCTGCAATAGGATTATATGTATATGAGTATGTAAAAATATAAGGAAGCCTGGTGGCACTGTGGATTAAGTAACCATAAGGTCACTGGTTCCAGCCAGTGATTGAAGATGAGGCTATCTGTTCCCGTGAATATTTGCAGTCTTGGAAACTTTAATACTTATATAGGAATGCTGTAAATCAGAATCAGTTGCAGTGAGTGGGTTATATTCATATATACTTTTATAAAATAAAGAATGCTCATAACTTATTAGTGTGTCTATTTCTATTTATTATAATTAAATTAATATTTTCATAAATATATTAGATATATTTTATTATTTCAACATTCTACCAATGCTATTGAAAATAGAAAGCAATCTCTTTAATGATGTTTCATATTGCTTCCCAGAATGCAATAAAATGATGAGATCTACATTATCTAATTTTATGACCTCCTATTAAAATTCTATTATATGTTAACATCATCTTTGAACTTCATATTCAGAGAAAACAATATTTTAGTTTACCAATAATTCACTGTATTTTCCTAACACATTTGTACGTTAAGTTAATAAGATGATTTGTAGAAATCAACTCTGATAAATCTGCTATAAAACAGCAATATGTAAACACAGACATATTCACTACAGAAATTTTATTTTGAAAAATCATTGTCAGAAACTTTGTTTAATGCAATCTGCACTCTAATTCATCCTCTAAAAAACATTTAAAACTAGCATACTTACTTTCAGACCCAGTAATGCACCTGATTCTTTGGGCATGGTTGTTCTCTTGTTAAGAATAACACGTCCAATTAGTCGGTCTCCCTCTTTAGACGGTTGCCACGTTACAGGATGCTATTGAAAATTGCCAAAGTTGTTGTTGTTGTTTTATCTGCATAATATGCTTCCTTTCTTATAGACACTGAATTGTATCATGGTACAATTTCTTCAGCTAAAAGCCAGTGAAATTTTCATTCTGGGGGATTTATCCTTGGCTTATCACAATTCATTTAGAGGTATATTTTATTTACACAGAATGTTGATTAATTACCCTGAATACTACTACTGAAGATAGTTAACAATTAATTAATTATACATCCCTAATATTTTCTTCTAATAGGAAGTTAACTAAAATATAACTATATTGTATATCAAGGAATCTAAATCTGCATTTGGAATTGTTCTTAATCCTTAGCTAAATATTATGTCCTTTTTACATATTCATTATTTGTTAATTACATTTTATGTATTATAATTATTTGGTAATAAGTATTTTACTGCATTTTCTTCAAAACTGTACTGTAAAAACAACCTGTATTTTTCTCTAATAAAATGTCTAATGTCGTAGAATAAGGTGATTTATAATACAACAAACTAAGTACAAAGAAGGATGCCTACACTATGCCTGACTTCGAACACTCACTCCCAGAAAACTTACCGAACTAATAGGCGATGTTTCCCTGCTGTGCCACGTGGCGGGATCCAACCAGTAATAATCCAAGTCACCTGCACAAGAGAAAAAGAAAAAGGATGATGAGAAGTATGCTGGCATTTAAAATGCTCCACTCTAAGTAGGACTTCTTCAATCTATAACAAAGGATTATGAAAGAAAGGTGCAATCCTAAAGGTTTACATACAATAATGATGTACATCTGCATTGCAACGATGGTGACCCAAATAACAGGAAAGAATACGTGTGATAAATGCATTTTATACAAATGGAGGGCTACCTTTTTCTAACATAAATCGCCCTTGAGCATTTTCACATGTAAAATACTGGAAAGAGCTGCCTAAGCGCCACTTCCACATTGGGCTGCTCATAAGGAGGCTCAGCCTGCCACCTAGTGCAGCTGCAGAGAACTGCATTCATTGAGCTCAAGTGCTCAAGTGCAGTGTCTTCTTGTCTTCTGTTTGGAACTATAGTATGTGTTTCAAAACTATACTCTGGATTCTATCCCCTTCCCCTCTCATCTAAGAAACATGACACGATGGTGTGTATTTTATTACGAATAACAGTTGGGGCAATAGTGCACACAAATAATAGGATATTTGGGTTTACTACTACGATGAAGGCAATAAATAATTCTAACTTATAAACATGCATCCATTAGTATTTAATTTGTTAGTTTTTAGCTTAAAAATATAACTACAAAGAAAATATGTGAGGCACAACAGAGAAGTCTGAGTAGAAAGCAGCAGTGCTTTAAGCAGTACACAGGAAGGAAGGCTAGACAAAAAGCAGGCACGGAGGACAGAATGGCACAGCATGTAGGGGATCAAGGATCTATCACATCTAAATATCAGATTAATTTAATGAAAAATTTCTCTTTAGGGATCTTGAAAGATAAAAACAAGATTGTAAGCAAAGCATGCCACTCAACAATGCGGTATCTAGTTGACTTCTGGAAACATGCTTGGGAACACATGAAAGTCATAGGTAAATAATTGTATGTAGGTATCAGACATGGCACAGATAGGCATATTGATCACAGAAATGCAATAGCAAATAAAGTACTTTAAATCCACTAGGTATCAAAAATCCACATGCCTCATTTTCGTAGTAGCTGCTTCTTTTTTTCTTTAACATAATAATCTTCATAAAGGTTGAGATAAATTTTCACTATCCTACAATTAATACTAAAATGTCCTTCAAATTTTTCATGTATATAAAAGCAGTATGCACTATGAAGGGATACATATTTAAAATTGCATTAGCATATATGCTGCTAAAATGTAGCCCATGTGGAATCCATGTGTCTGAAAACTGCATATTTTAAATACAGACTTTGGCTTGGGTGCCAAAGGTTATCGATTTCTAATCTACATGATTACCTCAACTACTGGAATACAAGAAAGTTGTGAAACAAAAATTTTCCCCATTATGATTAGTATTTACAATCGCTTTATATGTCTATCTTTAAAGCCTTTAGCATTATGATACCATTGCTCTTTAGAGTGTAACTTAGTTGAAATAAAATTGCACCTTTTACTAAAAGAAATGTTACTGATTATTCAAAAGATCATTGTTTTAATTTATAAAGCTTTCTCCTTGATGTTCATATATCTAGTAATAAGGCCTCAGGAGGTCTTAAATGCTAATCTGCATTTAAATGCTGTTGCAATCAGTAGAACCATTTGGTTGGTAGGGCTACTAGGTTTTCCTACAAAAGAAAATTACCGCATATACTCGTGTATAAGCTGAGTTTTTCAGCACATTTTTAATGCAGCTTTTGTGGTACAATTAGGTGCCTCAGCTAATATTCGGGCTGGCTTATACTCGAGAATATATGGTAGTCTTAAGCTGAAACTTCTTTGAGGGTTTGGGCTTAAAAATGACAAAAATTCATCTTATATAGACTTTGAGAAAAGAATATGTTTACTGCATCCCCCCAATAACAGGATTTACATCTTAAAAACGGTGTACTTGGACATCTCTTTCAGCCTCATGTCTCAATCTTTCTTATGGTGGTCTCTGTCCTTGTGGTCAGACAAGGTCAGGATCAGACAGTTACAGCCCGTAATGGCCCAAGGACAACAGAAGGAGACACTGCTGGGTTCTATGCTGGAGCCCTGTTGTACATCACTGTGTCAGCCCTTCTCTTGAACTTCCTCCTTTCCCCCCAGTGGTTAATCCCCCAGAAGTGGGCAGCTGCAGTACTAAATCCTACTGCTATTTGTAAGAGTTTCGGTGATGAATTCCTCAGAAGTAGATCTACTACTCTTTCCTGTAGTCTGTGTTTAGTCTAGAATTTCCACTGGAACCTGTTCACCTTGGGTAACCCTAGTGGTCACTGAAAGACTGGAGAAATCTCTTTCAGCTTCACAGCATAAGCACCACAGTTCAATAAACTGACAAACAGGTGATACCACATGCTGGCACAGTCTTTATTTTACCTGTCTTCTGTTAAACAGATGGAGACACAGATCTGGTGACTATTCAATGCAAAGGTGCTCCTCATATGCAAAGATAAGCCAAGGCTGATGTTTCTAGTAAATTTGGAAGATGATTTCCAGCATATTCTTTTTCATGGAAACACTGTTTTCAGACAGTGGAATTCTATCATCTATAGCCTTTGTTATCAGGAGAGGCCAGTCTCTGGAAAAAGGACATCATGCTCGGTAACATAGGGGGGCGGTGTCAAAGAGGAAGGTCCCTGACAAGATGGATCAACGCAATGATGCACAGTGGGCTCCCCCATCAGGACAACTGGGCAGGGGACACAGGACAGGGCGGCACTCCGTTCTGCTGTCCACAGGGTTGTGATCAGTCAGAACCAACTCAACACAGCTGACGACAACAGCACCACTTTTGTGATGCACTGATCTCAAAGGGGAGACTAATTTGGATGTATGGTTTGGATGTATGGTTTGGATGTATATACAAGGAAGGGTTTTAAAAACTTCCTAGAAAAATGGAATCAAAACTAATGGAACATTTCCACAAACTCATTGAAGCTCTCTTGTATTTATGTCAGGTGTCCTTCCAATTTCCCCACCCCATTCCTCACCCCACTCCCCGAAGTTCACCAAGTGATTTTAATGGCAGCCTTCATAGATCTTCCATTATCCTAAGAATGCGAATAGGAATGCTACAGATTGTATATCTAAAGAAGTACTTTGAAATTCTGACCATACACAGACGTTTAAGTGTAAAAAAAAATTATTTTTTTTAACTCGCCACTGAGTTGATTCTGGCCCATACTAATTTCAGGCATTGTTGCAAAGAAGAACCACACCATAGAGTGTTCTTGATTGTCATTTTTAACATAGGGGGATCCGAGACTTAAGTGCTAGGACGCAAAGCAAAACGTCGGTGATACGAACCCATCAGTTGCTCCCTGAGAGAAAGTTTCAGCTTCCTTAAAGATTCGCATCCCTGGAAACCCTATGAAGCAGGTCCGTTCTTCCCTCTGCCATTGCTAAGAGTTAGAACAGACTCTTTGGCAGGGGATTCGGGGTTTGGAATCTTTTTAAAAAATAAATCATTTTATTGGGGGCCCTTACCTATATTATAACAACCCATACATCCATTATATCAAGCAGACATGTACAAATGTTGCCATCGACAATTTTAAAACATTATCTTTCTTCTTGAGCCCATTGTTATTAGCTCCTCTTTATTCCCTCCCTCGCCCGCCCTGCCACCTTTTCCAACCCTTAATATATGATGTATTGTTCTTACTATTTATACATATCTTACACCGCCTATTCTATCCCTGCACCTACCATCCAGGTGTTTGTCCCCGTTGAGGAGGGTTATTCCGTCATCATTGCTATCCGTTCCCTCTCACACACACACCCTTTCCTTTCCCTTCCCCTACCCTTCTGGCCGCATTACTCCCATTACTTTTTCTGAAGGGCTTGTTGATCCTGAATTCTGTATATAAAGCTCCCATCTGTACAGATGTATGTACACCAGTCTAGCAGGATTTGTGAGGTAGGCCTGAGCTCATAACAGTGAGGGGAGGAAGGATTGAAGAACTAGAGGAGTGTTGTGTGTTTTGTCAGAGTGGGGTTTGGAATCTTAAATGAGGCATAATACCAGGCCTTTCTTCTATACTACTGCTGGATTTAAACTGTGTACTTTGAGGTTCATGGTCAACCACAAACCATTTTGCTATCCAGGGATCTTGATTTTATATGCTTCCTAAAAATTGCTAAAAGGTACATATAAACACATATATTCAATGTTTTCACTTATAATAATAGTTGTATATTTATTATACAACCAAAGTCCCTTATGCTCTGGACAGTTTCTAAGAATCTCTATTGCTAATTTTATTATCAGTCTTTAAAATATATTGTTGTTTAAGTACTTACAAAACTAATTTTTTAATCTAAGTATACAGTTCTAAGTTACATATGTTCTCATTCCCTTGTGTGATAGTTACATAATCTGTTGTCAATTTGAGACTTAGGAGTGAAGGGGTGGAGTTTAGCCTGTCAATCAGGTCACAGCTTGATGACCTCATTTGGAGGTGCTAAGCAGATAACTAGCTCATTGGAGGCAAGACACACGCTCACACTCTGTTGAGACAGTCCTGCTGACAAGACACATGGAGCTACACTAGTGCCGTGGAGCTGGAGGACCCCTGCCAGAGCTGAGATGCTTCCACTGCCACTGGATCCACAAGACTTTCCACCCACTGGCCTGTGATTTTCTTGCATTCAGCATCATTGCATGTGTTTCTTAAGTCTGACGAGGACTTTATAGATTGATATTGAACATATGGGCTAATATCAGACTTATGGACTTGATCTGAACCTGGCTGGGATGTTTTCTCAATATTTAATTGCTCTTGTATATAAGGCTCTTTCTTATACACATATGAGTGTACATGAATGTTTCTCTAGACTACCCTGACTAACACACCATGTATTTACTAATTTTAAAAGAATGTACTGACTTAAATACACTATTTTCTTTATAATTCATGCATAAGGGAATAAGCAAGATTTAATTTTTTTTCTCAAAATATCTAGAACCTAGTATTTCATCAATACAA